CGTAGCAATACCGTAGTGACCCTAGCAATACCGTAGTGACCCTAGCAATACCGTAGTGACCCTAGCAATACCGTAGTGACCCTAGCAATACCGTAGTGACCCTAGCAATACCGTAGTCACCGTAGCAATACCGTAGTGACCCTAGCAATACCGTAGTGACCGTAGCAATACCGTAGTCACCGTAGCAATACCGTAGTGACCCTAGCAATACCGTAGTGACCCTAGCAATACCGTAGTCACCGTAGCAATACCGTAGTGACCCTAGCAATACCGTAGTCACCATAGCAATACCGTAGTGACCCTAGCAATACCGTAGTGACCCTAGCAATACCGTAGTGACCCTAGCAATACCGTAGTCACCATAGCAATACCGTAGTCACCGTAGCAATACCGTAGTGACCCTAGCAATACCGTAGTGACCCTAGCAATACCGTAGTCACCCTAGCAATACCGTAGTGACCCTAGCAATACCGTAGTGACCATAGCAATACCGTAGTCACCGTAGCAATACCGTAGTGACCCTAGCAATACCGTAGTCACCGTAGCAATACCGTAGTCACCGTAGCAATACCGTAGTCCCCCCACTCAGCTTCTGTATTTTCCTGGTCTAAATAGTACACCTATTAAAGTTGTTAACGAGCACAAGCACCTGGGCGTTATTCTCGACCGCCAACTCTCCTGGTCTCCACAAGTCCAGTCTGTGTGCAAGCGTGCGAGTGCGTCCTTAGGTATGCTACAACCCCACTGCCAACACTTGAATGATAACTGCAGAAAATTGTTCTTTAAGTCGTACATTTTGCCTATATTTGACTATTGCGATATAGCTTGGTGCGGGTTGTCTCAGACTTTACTCCACAGACTGGAAGTACATCAACGCTTGCTTCTGAAAATTCTGTTTCGAAAAGACCAAACATTTGCCTCCCTTTGTCTTTATAAACTTGCTTCCACGCACCCTCTTCTTGCCCGACATCAGCAGCATCTTTGTATCCTTGTGCAAAAAATCTTCCTAGCCCAAGTCCCGAAACATATTGCCAAGTACAACTGGTTTGTTACCACTAGACCAACACGCAATGCCTTATCACTGCCCCGAGCTAGTTCCTCTCTGTTTTTGAAATCCCCTTTCTTCTCAGCATACTCCCTTTGGTCTAACCTGCCTACTAGCATTAAGACATGCCAGGATATCAGGAAATTCAAAGTCCAGCTTTCCACACTGTCTCATCCGAAGTGATCCCATGTATTACTAATGTGCCTCCCTTTCTTTTTCTCTCCCTATCTCCTTTCCCTCTCTGACAGCATCTTTCTTTTTCTCCCTTTTAGCTTGCCGTGGTTGGCTATCACCTGACCTCTCATGTTTATTGGCAGTCTTCGGACGGGCCAGGAGATGTTGAATAAATAAATAAATAAATAGTGACATTAGCAATACCGTAGTGACCCTAGCAATACCGTAGTGACCGTAGCAATACCGTAGTCACCGTAGCAATACCGTAGTGACCCTAGCAATACCGTAGTGACCCTAGCAATACCGTAGTCACCGTAGCAATACCGTAGTGACCCTAGCAATACCGTAGTGACCCTAGCAATACCGTAGTCACCGTAGCAATACCGTAGTGACCCTAGCAATACCGTAGTGACCCTAGCAATACCGTAGTGACCCTAGCAATACCGTAGTGACCCTAGCAATACCGTAGTGACCCTAGCAATACCGTAGTCACCGTAGCAATACCGTAGTGACCCTAGCAATACCGTAGTGACCGTAGCAATACCGTAGTCACCGTAGCAATACCGTAGTGACCCTAGCAATACCGTAGTGACCCTAGCAATACCGTAGTGACCGTAGCAATACCGTAGTCACCGTAGCAATACCGTAGTGACCCTAGCAATACCGTAGTGACCGTAGCAATACCGTAGTCACCGTAGCAATACCGTAGTGACCGTAGCAATACCGTAGTGACCCTAGCAATACCGTAGTCACCGTAGCAATACCGTAGTGACCGTAGCAATACCGTAGTGACCCTAGCAATACCGTAGTGACCGTAGCAATACCGTAGTGACCCTAGCAATACCGTAGTGACCATAGCAATACCGTAGTCACCGTAGCAATACCGTAGTGACCCTAGCAATACCGTAGTCACCGTAGCAATACCGTAGTCACCGTAGCAATACCGTAGTGACCCTAGCAATACCGTAGTGACCCTAGCAATACCGTAGTGACCGTAGCAATACCGTAGTCACCGTAGCAATACCGTAGTGACCCTAGCAATACCGTAGTGACCCTAGCAATACCGTAGTCACCGTAGCAATACCGTAGTGACCCTAGCAATACCGTAGTGACCCTAGCAATACCGTAGTCACCGTAGCAATACCGTAGTGACCCTAGCAATACCGTAGTGACCCTAGCAATACCGTAGTGACCCTAGCAATACCGTAGTGACCCTAGCAATACCGTAGTGACCCTAGCAATACCGTAGTGACCGTAGCAATACCGTAGTGACCCTAGCAATACCGTAGTGACCCTAGCAATACCGTAGTCACCGTAGCAATACCGTAGTGACCCTAGCAATACCGTAGTGACCGTAGCAATACCGTAGTCACCGTAGCAATACCGTAGTGACCCTAGCAATACCGTAGTGACCCTAGCAATACCGTAGTGACCCTAGCAATACCGTAGTGACCCTAGCAATACCGTAGTGACCCTAGCAATACCGTAGTCACCGTAGCAATACCGTAGTGACCCTAGCAATACCGTAGTCACCATAGCAATACCGTAGTGACCCTAGCAATACCGTAGTGACCCTAGCAATACCGTAGTGACCCTAGCAATACCGTAGTCACCATAGCAATACCGTAGTCACCGTAGCAATACCGTAGTGACCCTAGCAATACCGTAGTGACCCTAGCAATACCGTAGTCACCCTAGCAATACCGTAGTCACCGTAGCAATACCGTAGTGACCGTAGTAATACCGTAGTGACCGTAGCAATACCGTAGTCACCGTAGCAATACCGTAGTGACCCTAGCAAACCGTAGTGACCCTAGCAATACCGTAGTGACCCTAGCAATACCGTAGTGACCATAGCAATACCGTAGTCACCGTAGCAATACCGTAGTGACCCTAGCAATACCGTAGTCACCGTAGCAATACCGTAGTCACCGTAGCAATACCGTAGTGACCCTAGCAATACCGTAGTCACCGTAGCAATACCGTAGTCACCGTAGCAATACCGTAGTGACCCTAGCAATACCGTAGTGACCCTAGCAATACCGTAGTGACCGTAGCAATACCGTAGTCACCGTAGCAATACCGTAGTGACCCTAGCAATACCGTAGTGACCCTAGCAATACCGTAGTCACCGTAGCAATACCGTAGTGACCCTAGCAATACCGTAGTGACCCTAGCAATACCGTAGTCACCGTAGCAATACCGTAGTGACCCTAGCAATACCGTAGTGACCCTAGCAATACCGTAGTGACCCTAGCAATACCGTAGTGACCCTAGCAATACCGTAGTGACCCTAGCAATACCGTAGTCACCGTAGCAATACCGTAGTGACCCTAGCAATACCGTAGTGACCGTAGCAATACCGTAGTCACCGTAGCAATACCGTAGTGACCCTAGCAATACCGTAGTGACCGTAGCAATACCGTAGTCACCGTAGCAATACCGTAGTGACCCTAGCAATACCGTAGTGACCCTAGCAATACCGTAGTGACCGTAGCAATACCGTAGTCACCGTAGCAATACCGTAGTGACCCTAGCAATACCGTAGTGACCCTAGCAATACTGTAGTGACCGTAGCAATACCGTAGTGACCCTAGCAATACCGTAGTCACCGTAGCAATACCGTAGTGACCGTAGCAATACCGTAGTCACCGTAGCAATACCGTAGTGACCGTAGCAATACCGTAGTGACCCTAGCAATACCGTAGTGACCGTAGCAATACCGTAGTCACCGTAGCAATACCGTAGTGACCCTAGCAATACCGTAGTGACCCTAGCAATACCGTAGTCACCGTAGCAATACCGTAGTGACCCTAGCAATACCGTAGTCACCGTAGCAATACCGTAGTGACCCTAGCAATACCGTAGTGACCGTAGCAATACCGTAGTGACCCTAGCAATACCGTAGTGACCCTAGCAATACCGTAGTCACCGTAGCAATACCGTAGTGACCCTAGCAATACCGTAGTCACCGTAGCAATACCGTAGTGACCCTAGCAATACCGTAGTCATCGTAGCAATACCGTAGTGACCGTAGCAATACCGTAGTCATCGTAGCAATACCGTAGTCACCGTAGCAATACCGTAGTGACCCTAGCAATACCGTAGTGACCCAAGCAATACCGTAGTCACCGTAGCAATACCGTAGTGACCCTAGCAATACCGTAGTCACCGTAGCAATACCGTAGTGACCCTAGCAATACCGTAGTCATCGTAGCAATACCGTAGTCACCGTAGCAATACCGTAGTGACCCTAGCAATACCGTAGTGACCCTAGCAATACCGTAGTGACCCTAGCAATACCGTAGTGACCCTAGCAATACCGTAGTCACCGTAGCAATACCGTAGTCACCGTAGCAATACCGTAGTGACCCTAGCAATACCGTAGTGACCCTAGCAATACTGTAGTGACCGTAGCGTGTCCAACGCCTCTACATGATTGCATGATTGCATGATTGCATGATTGCATGATTGCATGATTGCATGATTGTCTTCTGACTACTGTAAACTGCCTAATATTCGCATCAAGAATTTTTCGCGATTTCTCAGAACCAACGAGTTTACGATAGCAAATTTTCGTGAATCACTGTGGTCACACACACACACACACACACACCCACTGTTGAAGTTTGATTTCACGATGGTTAATATTCGCGTTGCGCTCTTCTCGCAAATCTAGCAAACATTAATACGTCGCAAACTTTAAGGCGTCGCAAACATTAGGCAGTTTACAGTGTCTCATCTGTGTGATCTGGCAATGCATTGTTGTGAACTTGTACAGGACTTCATGTTGCCGAGTGGAAAAGTTCGTATCGGCTTATGTTCCTTGACGAGAGTGGTCGATTCCGCCTGGATGGTCTGGCCATCGTCAAGAATACGCAGGTAGTCAGCTGGCCGGCCTAGGTCAACTTTTCAGTCTATCCGTATGATTCACCAGTCCCTAGCATCACAGTCAGGTCATTGTGCATTGGTAATCTGTACTGCTAGACATCATGTTATCATACAACCAGTGGGTAGCACCTGTTCATCTTCTTACACTTACCAATGAGTTCATCCCTAGCTTGACAGAGAAACAAGAAACTGGTACAGTGGAATAAATCTAATGTGCTACAAGTGCGTGAGTCGAGGCCACTGGCTATTAGCTTCAGTACACCGTGAGAGCGTCACTCCGTCTACAGCATCATGATTGTCTTAACTTAAAATTCTCGTTTTGAACATGAACATGTTGCTGACTGTAACAGGAAGAAGACTGGAATGACATTGGTCTCACTCTAGTTGTTGGCAATCCCAAGATTGTGCAAGCCAGCAGCAGCAAGAAGGGTGGAGCGAGTTCAGCGTAAGTTGTTGCAGAGATTTTTCCATCCTCCTGTATGGGAAGAGTGGTCGATGCCCATGCACGTATGAGAACTACAGACATGCCATATTGTTACACTCATACCTCGCTTATCCGGGCGGTCCGCGACCGGGCACTACCCGTAACTTCGGAATGTCCGCAACTCCGAATCACATACATTTTTTTATGGGGAAAGGCCATAAATAGCATATGACGTCACTATTTTCACGAAAAGTGGCAAAAGAGTAGTAATATGTCCACTAAAACTTGCCCAAAGGGTGCTGGGTAGACTGAAGTGGTATCACAAACGAAATCCTAAAGATCCTTGGTCCGTCAATCTGCGATCCATTGAGTTTAATTTTTAATCTGTCCTTCTCATCTGGTGTTTTTCCATCTGTCTGGAAACGCTCCGTTCTTGTCCCCATTTACAAAAATAAGGGCAGCAAATCCAATCCAACAAATTACCGTCCCATTTCCCTCCTTTCTGCAATATCGAAACTGTGTGAGCGCGTCATGTACGACCAGTTGTATGCCCATGTAAGGCCAAGTAAAATAAAATCCCAGTTTATCGTCCTTTTTTCACAAAAATCGGGGAGGGAGGGCAGATTTTATTTTTATTTTTTATTTTTTTGATGTGCTACAGACTAGTATAGTTCTTGGTAAACAATGACACATCATGTGCAACAATCTGCAACAGAATAGTGGTAGTGTATGGAATACACAATGCTATAACAGTTATATGTACATAAACAATTACATGCAAAATCTTTGGATCGACAGATTGTCACTCCACTCATAAGACACAAACCCCAAGACGAAGCTGTGTTTTCAAGCCTTAGCCGACGTAAAAAATCAAGCTTTTTGGCAAAATTCTAGATTTAAAAAATAAAAATAAATTCCGGGCGGCCTCGAAAAATGGGGCGGGCGGGGACGATAAACTAGGATTTTTTTTTACTTGGCCTAAACCCTCTACTATCTCCAGCCCAGTCTGGATTCCGCAAAGGAGATTCTACCGCGTGGCAACTTGCACGCTTTACTCAGAACCTGTTGGAACGCAGACATCAGCACTACTTCAGCCTAGTTTGTTTCTTCGACCTATCAAAGGCCTTTGATACAGTGTGGCACCGTGATTTGTTGGCCAAAGTTGCCTCCTTTAACATCGGTGGCAATGTTCTGCGGTGGCTCGAAAGCTACCTATCCTGCCGAGTCCAACAGGTCAGGGTGTCAGATTCGCTGTCCCAACCGCTCGAAGTATGTTCCGGTGTGCCACAGGGCTCAATACTTGGTCCTCTTCTCTTCTTGCTCTATGTAAATGACTTAAATCGCGTTCCAAATACCTCCCTGTACGCCGATGATACTACTCTTGTGGCATCTGAACTTTCCCTGCCCATGGCGTGTAATTCTTTGCAGTCGGAAATTCGCTCAGTGGTTGGATGCGTCTCTGGAAATTTCGACCTAATGCTGGAAAGACTGTCATATTGTGCATTCCACCTCATCCGCGTTATCCACTTCCCTGACGACCGGACGCCCATCCCAATTGTTAGCCACCACAAACACCTTGGAGTCATCTTTGACTCGGGCATGAGTTGGTCCCACCATCTGGAGTATCTCGAGCGCCGGACAAGTTCGGCTGTTGGTGTTCTATACAGTCACATGAGCCATTTACCACTAGTATGTCGCCGGGCTTTTTACGCCTCCTATATCTTACCCATAATTTTATACTGTAGCATTGTGTGGTGCAGTGCTGGAGCAGGAATGCTTACGCGGCTTGAACTAATGCATCGCAGGATTTTGAGAGCGATATTTCGTTTCCCACTTGACACCCAATAAACAATTCTGTATTCCCAATGCAAAACTTGTCCTTTACAAACCATAATTAACAGACTCTGCTGTAGTCCATCAGATTAAACTGCTGAAGGCCCCAATGCATATTCAAAATGCGCTTAACTGGTTTAACTCCTCTTCGTCAAGTCGTAATAAACTAAGATTCCCTATTTCAAGAAATAACTCAATGAGTCGCTCGCCTGTTTTCATTAGCTATTGTCTCTGGGACTCGCTTCCCCAAAAAATGCAATCATGTGAAAACATTTCTGCCTTTGTTCGTGATCTCTCAGACCATTTCCCGTAAACCTAATAATGCAACTTGATTTGCAGCCCAATCTCTTCTTTTATTGTGATTTGCACTTGTTTTTCTTTCTTCTTCTTTTTTTCTTCTTGTCAAAGTTTTGCCATGGCTGGCTATAATCGCCCTCACCTCCTCCTTGATTGGCCTTGGCCATGAGTGTGTGCGTAATAATAATAATAATAATAATAATAATAATAATAATAATAATAATAATAATAATAATAATAATAATAATAAGTGCCTGTAACTTCGGGGTCCGGACAAGCTGGGATAACCGATGTATGAGTGTATATGTGTGACAGTGTTTATGCACAGCAAACGATCAGTCTGGAAGTAGAGAATGGAGAATAAGACGAAGGATACCATGAACAAAATACTGAAACTTAGCCGACTGTTGGCTGGTGTGTGTGTGTGTGTGTGTGTGTGTGTGTGTGTGTGTGTGTGTGTGTGTATGTGTGTGCGTGCCTGTGTGTTTTCTTTCTCCAATTGTGTAGAGGAAGAATGTCACTGGAAATCCGACCAGTGGTAAGCACAGACTACACTCAGTACACTCCTAGTCTCTGACAGTGCATGGCAGTGCATGGCAGTGCATGGCAGTGCATGGCAGGGCATGGCAGGGCATGGCAGGGCATGGCAGGGCATGGCAGTGCATGGCAGTGCATGGCAGGGCATGGCAGGGCATGGCAGGGCATGGCAGTGCATGGCAGTGCATGGCAGTGCATGGCAGTGCATGGCAGTGCATGACAGTGCATGGCAACACACACGTCTACTAATTGGTAGTGTCACTGTTCTGCTAGTACTAGCACCCTAGTGGCTCATGCACAATTCCGCTCCCTGATTACGTTATTTGGCAACTGCTAGATGATCTGCGGCTCCTTGCAACTTCACTGTTGGCTTGCTGTTAGCCTTTCACTGTTGGCTTGCTGTTAGCCTAGATATCAGCACACTCCCTTACCTGCCCCACATCAGGCAATCCCCATCAGGCAATCCCCATCAGGCAATCCGCATCAGGCAATCCCCATCAGGCAATCCCCATCAGGCATCCCCATCAGGCAATCCCCATCAGGCAATCCCCATCAGGCAATCCCCATCAGGCAATCCCCATCAGGCAATCCCCATCAGGCAATCCCCATCAGGCAATCCCCATCAGGCAATCCCCATGAAGCTATCTCCACGAGGTAATCCCTATGAGGTAATTCCCATGAGGTAATGCGCATGCATCATCAGCTAGTGTCATGAAACAGCTAAGCTCAGATAAAGGCAGGCATAGCTCAAACTGTATCCTGGTAACAGTGTTGTGCCCATGCATCTGGGTCAATTTGTCTGGGTTAATCTGGGTGAGTGTATCCGTGGGTTAATTAATGTATCTGGGTTAATGTGCCTGGGTTAATGTATTGCAGGAAGGTCGTGGTGGCTCATACAGTGTCAACGTTCATCCTGGAGATTCGATCTTTGCCTTGAAACAGGAGATAACCCGTCTGAAAGGTATGGTTTGATAATCTTGCACACACCAGTTTGAGTGCATGAAATCGTGCACACACCAGTTTGAGTGCATGAGCCTATTTCTATGAAAGTGGACATGACTTTTGCTTGAATTAGAGACTTGGACAGTTGTCATCCTTTCCTGTTATGTAGTTTTGAAAGTTGACTGTTTGTTGGCAGCTTGGGTACCCCATTTCTATCTGTGTATTGTGCTACGTTGTGTGTATGCGCTCGTGTGTGTATGCACACATGTTTGTGCTCTTGTTTGTGTATCCGTGTGTGTGTGTGTGTGTGTGTGTGTGTGTGTGTGTTTGTGTGTGTGTGTGTGTGTGTGTGTGTTTCTATTCATCACAGGCATTCCCGTGTTTGAGCAGCGTTTGATTTATGCCGGCAAGGAAGTTGGAGGTCTGTTCACGATTTGCTTCAGAAGTTTGCTTCAGATTTTCCGTAGAAGGATGTGTGCCTTATTTGCTTGTCAAGTCTCTGCCATCTACATGCACCTCAACACAGCTATGGCGCGTCAATGGTGTGGCAATAGCATGCAATGCATGCATACAGCCCTTAGGTACTGTTTATGCAATGATAAACTGTCATGTAGCCGGGGAAACGTTTGCCAAGCTTTCCCGCCCTATCTACCAACCGTGACTGGCTATCTCAGTGTCACTTTCTCTTTTGGTTTTGTTTTAATGCTTCTCTCCTGCTGCTTCTCTCTCCCTGGTGCATGTCAAGATGGACGCTCGCTTGCCGATTACAACATCACAAGTGGCTCCTGTCTGCGTCTGGATCGGAGAGCAACTAAACATGCCACTGCCAGTTCGGAGTATGACTCAGAGATGATGAAGCGCAAGTTCATTATGGCACAGCAGGTATGTATACTCAAAGAGTAGTGATTGTCAATAGTCAGCAGAGTGCTTTTGTTTTCTAAAATTGTCTGATTCCTGTTGTTTTGTGCATGGAACATAATTCGGTATGTCGCAAACATTAGGCAGTTTGATGTAAATCTTGAGGTTTGTAAACATACCATGGCTAGTAAACTAGAATTTCTGTTGTAAGCTAGTTACCTGCAAGCATTTCACTTTGATACTCTGTGCAATCATGGTCTTCACAATTAGGATGGACTGTCCTACTACCCGATCAAGAGCTCTGTCAGTGCCAAGCGTAACCAGACGGCCATTGTGCCGCTCATGCAGGCTGAGCTTGAGGGGCAGCTGGTCACTATCTACGACGACTCTGTCAGGTAATCGTTTCGTTGCCGTCTGTGGAGTTATACGCGCTCAGTGACACCAGTGTTATACAACATGATGAGCTATTTTAGATAGTTGCTGCCTGTAGTTTACTCTGGTAACCACAAATTTTGTTACTGTTATGTGTTCATGAGCAATATAAACAACTGCATGTATTACCAAGACGGTGTTCATTTTGAACATACCGCCATGCATGTCAGGTTGCCGGAGAATGTGGAGCTCGATTACCATTCATTCCTCCTGTTGTGTCTTGCACTGTACAGGAAGGGAAATCCCCTGGCAGCTGTCCTCTTCGAGAACACCACTGGACTAACACTGGAGCAGGGTACTCTGCAGGTTGGTGCGGCCAATCGCATACTATTCATCTGTAGTGTCACTGACTGCCGGTACTGTCGCTTTTCAAGGTTGCATAATTGGGTGACGGCTGATCCTGTGTCAGTAACAGGGGGAGGGGAGAGGGAGGAGGATGGGGGGGGGGGGGGGGGTCTTCAGAAGTTCCCTTGGTAGTGTGTGAGAACTCAATACAGGGTCAATGGTCGTGTCAAAGACTGATTTGCTGAGCTATGTTTGTGACACTGTCTGGTCGCCTCTTTCCTGCTGATGTGGTATCTGTTGCTGCAGGTTATGAACGAGAAGATATTCCTGGGAGAAGGCTCGTACGTATAGCCTAGATTAGACTTGCTGCTGACGTGCTTAACTCATCATGTTGTTGTGGACACTGAGTGCAAACAGGCATGTATGCCCATTCATCGTCGTGTGTGTGTATGGGGGGGGGGGTTGGAAAGAAGAGAGAGGACGTGAGCGAGAAGGAGAGGGAGAGAGAGAGAGAGAGAGAGAGAGAGAGAGAGAGAGAGACAGACAGACAGACAGACAGACAGACAGACAGACAGAGATAGAGACAGAGACAGAGACAGACAGACAGAGAGAGAGAGAGAGAGAGAGAGAGAGAGAGAGAGAGAGAGAGAGAGAGAGAGAGAGAGAGAGAGAGAGAGAGAGAGAGACAGACAGACAGGTTCCGTAATATCGGCGGAAGGGATCTACTGCTGACTTGCGAACTTAGAAACATGTACTTTGTTTCTGGTATCTTTGTGCGTTTCACGATGGTCGTGTTTTCTTCAAGTTGGAAATCGGGCCTTTGGTAGATATGTGCTGCATTGGCATGGGAGGAAGTGGTACAGTCAAGGTTCACTTCTTTTTTACTCTCTTTCTCACTCCTGTGTGCAGCCACACCATACGTGCTCCCACCCCTAACACACCTCAGTCACATGCACACCCACGTACACACGCACACAGCAACAACAAACAGCCTCTGCGGGGACAGCAGCAACAGCAAGAAGAAAACGGGGACAGCAGCAACAGCAAGCAAGTGTATTGTCAACTCACGGCGACAATAGTAAACAGCTTTAAAAAAGCAACTCAACTACATCATCGAAATTAGTGCAGTCTGCAATCTGAGCACACCGCCAGCGGTGTGCTACGGAAATATCCAAACGACTCAACAAAATAACCATTCACTAGGGCGGGCGGGCATGGGCACTACACTTGCAAAGCAAGAAGAAAAAGAATGCCGCAGCCGGAGCGCATGCTCCTAATATCTCGCATTTGCGAGCAGCAAATGTTACGTCATGCAAAAGAAAGACAAAAAAGAACTACATTTCTCGTTTCTTTCCTACGTCAGCCAACGAGAAATGAGGCATTTCTTTTTTACTCTCTTTCTCACTCCTGTGTGCAGCCACACCATACGTGCTCCCACCCCTAACACACCTCAGTCACATGCACACCCACGTACACACGCACACAGCAACAACAAACAGCCTCTGCGGGGACAGCAGCAACAGCAAGAGCAGCAAAGCATAGCTAATGGATGGCCAGTGCCCTTGACACTGAGAGCATTGCTGAGAGTGACTCCTTGAAGTACATCCGCATGGATGTTTCGCTTCTCCAGCCGCCCTGACGTTAGATCAGTCTATCCGGGACTCCTGCTGCCGCGGCCACCGATGCTCCCCCAGAACGCAGGCTATGCAGCCCAAATGCGCTTGGGTTGAAGTTCGCTTGGCACAGCGCGTCCTGGATCAGCTCTCGGGCACGGCTGTAAGACATCTGGTCCCGGACAACTTGACTAGCGTTTCCTTGCCGAATACAGCCGAACAACTTCTGGTGGCCTTCGTAGCCACCTCTAGACAGCAGTCACTCTGTTAGAGCCACTGGGCATACTGCTCCATGCCATCTTGACAGCAGCACCCAGTTACCTTGGCGCAGTTGATCATTTTTTCTCACTTCGAGAAATAGTGCCATGTAATCTTCCTTGATTTCGATCTCGTCGACGTATATGTTTGACAAGTCGTTCCACCGCAAGAGCCCTGCGAAGCCAACGGTCATCAGAGTCGCTGTCTGCAAGTTCTGCAGTGATTCATTGCTCAAGAGCCTGGTAGCAACTTGGTTTAGCATCTGCTTCGTCATCGGCCTCTTCCGGTTCTTCGGCGCCGCCAGCAGTCGTTTGGCGGCCTGGACTAGGTTCCGAACCTGTGCGTTGTCTGTGGGGTCCGGTAGGCCTCGCACCTTGTGCGACCAGGCCAACGCGCAAATAGCGGATGTTATTGGTGACGCTGTCCGTGCCTCCTGGAGCAGCTTCACGACATACAAACATATGTGCCAAGACTCGGCTGGTACGCTCGGGATCTCTTGACTGCTAGCCCACTCTTGCCAGCGCTGAAATGTCGACAAATACTTGGTCACTGTTCCCGGTGCCCTACTCGCCAACATGACTTCTGGAATCTTCCTGGATAGGCCAAGTTCACGAGCTCCTGGGTTGGCTCCACTTGAACCGCCCTCAGCTCTAGGCATGAACACAAGATCATAACGTGAGGCGCCTGTCAACAGAGTCATCAGCATTAGCGTCGGCTTCAGCATCTGCAGCAGCTATCAGCATCACTTGAAGAGCATTATACAACGGCATCAGCAGCAGCAGCGTCTGCCAGCCCTGTGGGCTACAACATCGTCATCGGCATCACCAGCAGCAGCATCCATCCGCCCTGCGGATTATGACATTGTCAGCAGCATCTGCCTCCTGCCCTGCAGGCAATGGTGTTCCCTGAACACCAACATAGGACAATGCCTCGTGCACCGTGCACTCACATGTGCTCGCGCCACAAAACCACAGCAATCGTGTCAGTACGCAAATCAGCAACAGTTATTCTTCATGCACACTCTTAAAGCCAGCATTTCTGAATAATATTGCTTGCCCCCCAGCAAGTTGTAAGGGCAGGTACCTTCCAGAAATGTGTTTTCATCATGGGGTAGCACCAAAACTCCTTTTACAAATGGTTTCCAGCTTTGCCTCCCATGTAATTTTGGCCACCAATCCGCTGACACCCACTTAGGCACAACCAGTGTGCCATGGCCGCAGCACATTTTTAACATACTCAAAACTCTGGGTATTAGGTGGAACGGAGGTGTAAGCCACACCGTTTCCATTGACCAATCAACCGTAAAGGCATCGATCGCATAACATCCCGGATTCCACCACCTTGAACAGAAACGCTTTAACTATTTCGTCCTCAGACTCGCAAAGCAATCTAGCGTATGGGGACCCCACACACGCTCGATTTGTTCAAAAACAGCCGGGTTTAGCCGCCAATCATCTGTGTCAACTATTTTCGAATAGTAGTCCGCCAATTCATTTTGTTCTCTGGGAACCCATTCGGCAATCAGGCGGATTCCGTGTTTCATGCACACCTGGAGGATTCGCATGGCCTCCCTTTGCAAATGCTCCCTTCTGCTGCCCACCTGGATAATGTGCACAGCTGCCTGGTTATCGCTTCTGTGAATGCAGATACCTCCTTCTAGTTTGTGTGCTAATGATTCAAGCACCAACGCGATTGCTCTCAATTCTCTCCACGTGGAGCTTCTTCGGTCATTCAAAATCTCATTGGACCACTCTCCTCTGGCTACCTCGACTGCACTGCCGTCTACTAAAAATCCGCCCCAGCCAGAGTCGCTCGCATCGGACCAGGTCAGGACCGTTGCCTTTGGGCAGTTTTTCCAAAATGGTTGGCCGTGCCAGTCTTCAAAAACCGTGCTCCAAAATTCCAAGTCGCACCTTGCCGCATCCGGCCATTTCACTGGGGCGTACCAAGAACTCCTAGACAATATCATGCTGTAGAATGCCCTGGTACGCAGACGGCAAATTGGCCCGAGCGCAAGCGACATAGACAACAGGAAGCCGGCTAGCCTCGCCACTTCCCTCGCGGGTGGCGCTGCTAGACCGCTCAGCCGTGCTAGGCACTCTTTAAGCCTCGCCACTCTGCGCTCTGTCGCAAAAATTCGACCCTCTTTGAGGTCAATGCGCATGCCTAGCATTTCGACCGTTTGTGATGGCTCCCACTGGGATTTTTGTTCATTGGGCACAAACCCAGCTCTCAAGAGGTCAGCTTTCATCTGTTTTGCCACCACCTTTGCCCCTTCGACAGTAGAGTGCCCACCAGACCCGTCGTCCATGTAGAGCTGACATCTTATGCCCAACTCCCTCCAACGCCGCAGTAAAACACGTGTCACTTTTGTGAAAACATAAGGAGCCGTGGAGAGGCCAAACGGTAACACGCAAAATACATAGGTTGTGATAGTTCCCTCCGCATTAAACCACTTAAACCCCAAGTACTTTTGATGCTCCTGTGCAATTTCAATGTGGTGGTACCCGCTTTTCAGGTCAAAAGTAATCACGTAGTCGCCCTTTTCGTAGACTCTTGCGACTGTTTTCAGGTCTTCCATTTTGAATTTAAATTTCGCCAGATAAGTATTGACGTACCTCAAATCCAAAATGAGTCTTAACTTTTTTCCATTATTTACCACGCCTAAAGGGCTGCAAATCATTGCCTCCTCACTCTTGACCTCCTTTATGCACCCTCTTTCCATCAAGTCTCTAATTGAATCTGTGACAAAATCAAATTGGCACTGAACGCTACTGTGATTTTTTGCAGTTTTCGGCCTTGGTAGCTGCACGAACGGGAGTAGATACCCTTCACAAATGATCCTTAGCACAAATTCGGATGCCCCCATAGTTTCCCAAAATGGCTTGCACCTAGCTAAACTGCCCACCACCACCCCTTGCCCCTCTAGTTCCCCTTGATCGTCAGATTCACACAAGCCTGCCACGCACCCCTCGTCAACAACACTCAGCACCGAATACACTTCATCATCTATTACATCAGGGGGGAGTCCGTCCGCACAGCCCTCAGAGTATTTCTGAGCGGCTGGCTTCTGGCAGAAATTGATGAAGTGGCCTGGCTCGCCGCAACAGAAGCAGACTTTGGGGCCAGGCTGGATGGGGTTTCTCCCCGGTTGCGTCCTTGGTGCCTCGCTGGGCCCAGAAGGTGACTGCTGTTGTGGTGGCTGCTCAGCCCCTCGTGCGGCTGCTTTAGGGGTGACCACCCCGCCCCTGCCGAACCTGGATGGGACGCCCCCCCCCCCGAAAGGGCCGCTGCATGGCCACGGACTGCACGGCCGCATTCAGTCTCTTGCTCTTTTCGGCGGAGGTCACAATGCTGAGGATTCCCCCTCCCTCCACAAATTTGTTCGCCACCTCTACCCCATGGGTATCGGCGACGGCGAGCCACTCTTGCCTGTCCTCTAGAATGTCCTCACCTTTCTTTAGGTTTTTCGTTGCGCTCCTCAGCCGGTCGGATTTTAGTGCCCTCCGCACTTTCTCCAGGCGCTCCTGGAGCCGGGCGTTGACTGAGTGCTGGTGTTCATACGCCACGTTCCTCCATTTACTGGGGCCCGTTGACGTAGCACTCGAGTGATGGCGATGACGGCGAGCCTTCCTGCCGGAACTTTTTGATTTTTTGAATTTTTTGGACCTGGATCTCCGGCTCCTGGGGCTGGGTGACCGCGATGCACTGCTGGCACTCGACGATGATCTAGATGACGACGACGACGGCGACGACGACGACGATGACGGAGAACGTCTCCGTCTGCGACCTCTGCCGCGTGGGGATTCCGGGGCCCTGGCCCTTTCGAGCTCGATTTGGGCCTCGAGCAGCCTGATGCGAGTTGCCTGCTCCTCCAGGCGTGCCGCCGCCGCATCGTTCTGCTGCGCGTCAGCCTGCAGTCGTGCGGGTTCTGCGCTTGCAGCACGGCGGGTCCTTTTTCGGGGAGGCATGTTCCTAAAAAGGATCCTGAAAGTACGTTGAAAAATAAAACGGGATGAGAAATACACTACACTTGCAAAGCAAGAAGAAAAAGAATGCCGCAGCCGGAGCGCATGCTCCTAATATCTCGCATTTGCGAGCAGCAAATGTTACGTCATGCAAAAGAAAGACAAAAAAGAACTACATTTCTCGTTTCTTTCCTACGTCAGCCAACGAGAAATGAGGCATTTGTCAACTGTCTTTGCACATGCCTGTTCTGTTTCAATCTTCTAGGTTGCCTGGTCTTGGAATTGGCGATGAGAGTGCTCCGATACCGTATGCTGTGGAGATGGGTGTGGAAGTGTCTATTTCTCACGTACAAAAGCGACATCACGCACATGAGGTCAAGGTAGGTATGCATGGGTATGCAGACTGTGCAGACTGTGCAGACAGTGAATTAAGAATATCATAAATTGCCAATTGGGTGTTTTTGTGCTGGAGTAAGGTTTGAGAGTACATGTACATATATTCAGTGGCACATTCTAAGCATCTTTGGATACTCCCTTCTCCAGTGAAGGTATGGGCTTACCAATGATTACTATGCTAGGCCGTCGCAGCCTGAGGCCGCCCCACTTTTTCGGCCTTTTTTTCTTTTTTTTCTTCTTTTTTTGGAGCACACTGCAACAAAGCGCGATGATTGCTGCTCAGCGCAAATGTGGCAAATAATGAAGAATCCTTGTCCCCGATAGTGTTTTTTGCAGAATCAAAAAGTCTTTTATTGCAGTTACACTGAAATGGCACCAAATGCCTGGAAAATTGTGGAAATGCTTGCAATTGGCTTCAATTTTTGAAAAATTGGGGCCCCCGGACCCCCCCCCCCTTCCATGGCCACCCCACCTTCAAAGTCGGTGCGACGGGCCTGCTATATCTGTGTGCATGCAGTACTGATACCAGCGTGACAACTGCTGGACTGTAGAAGGTAGGCTGGAGGTGGCGCTGCCGGGCCACTGCTTTCTCACCGTGTGTCTTCTGGTGTTCCTCTGTTATGATCTAGATGCACGACGGGTCAATCTTCCTGTACTACTACCGCCAGCAAACTTCCAAGTACAGCATCAAGAATATGACAGCTCGCAAGCTTGACTTTATGCTCAACCACACGTTCCTGGATGCGTGGGAGCTGTATGACCATGAGGATGTGAGTACTCACTACTGGTGCCGTCGCCACGCTTAGACTCTGAGAAAGTGTACACTTGCAATCTCTGTGCTCAGGGCCTGAGATGTGAACCCATTAAGAGGTGCTCGTTATCTTCCTCTCTTGTGTATGACTTAGAGAGGTAAGATCGCGTGGACGTCAGCTTCATGGCCACTCCCTAAACTCGTGGTACCCTGTCGGTTTGGTTATGTGCTTGTGCTTTGTCTTGTGTGCTACCTGCACCCTGGCACCCTGGTACAATGGTTACAAACACAACCCCCGGGCTAGACCCAGATTGACAATGGTACTCGTGAGATCATTATACTCTTGAGCATGCTGTGCATAGTTTAACGCCAGCATCGCTATAATCACATTGTTATCATGTGCATGTGCAGGAGGGCGTCCAGCCCGTGGATATTACAGACCGCGTGTACCGGTTCCGTTTTGACGTACCGGCTCGTACGGAGAAAGAAGGCTCTGGTGCGCAGGCGACGGAAATGGAGTTCCCTGTCCGCGAGCAGGTAAGACTAGCCAGGATAGTGGACTGCGTGCGTTTCTGGTATGCACTGATCAGTCCAGCAATCACCGATAACTACAGTACTGGCCAAAGAAATCCAACCTCATGAATAAAATATCACCGGGCGCTATGCAGTCCTAGCACTGCACACACCGCCATCATAATATTGGGCATCAATGCGCGTTTGGTTTGCGATGTAAAATAAAACTTCAATAGTAGCATAATATGGATACAAGTGTAGTCAAACCGACTGTGGACCAGGATCCACCCAGTGCGAGTTCTCACACAAATGCATCATGATTGATGTAATGCTTGTGCAACGTTCAGCACACTTATGCACAGGCTTGCACCTCCCATGATGGCGATAGTACCATACCATTATAGCAGAGTGCGGCGGTCATGGTCTGGACTGCACTTACTTAGCATGGTTTTCTCTCAAGCATTTCAGTATGGTTTCAGTCCATGACAAACTGCTGCTGCTGCTGTTGGGCTGTGTTAACATGTGCATGTGCATGCGCATGCCTGACTGTACATGCTGCTGTGGGCTGTGTTAACATGTGCATGTGCATGCGCATGCCTGACTGTACATGCTGCTGTTGGCTGTGTTAACATATGCATGCCCGCTGACTGTATGTGCATATGCATGCCCGTTGAATGTATGTGCATGTGCATGCCTGCTGAATGTATGTGCATGTGCATGCCTGCTGACTCACGGTACAGATCATTTCGGTCAAGAACATCAACATTGGTAGTATGTCACGGGAAGAGCTGACCACTCTCGTTTCAAAGGGCACCGTCCCAGAAGGCGACCCAATTATCGGGCAGTTGGAGGAGACAATGAAGCTCAGAGATCGCTACGACACATTCCTTAGGTGTGTACTACACTGGCCATTCCTGCATTTAAAAAATCCAGACCCACAAAGTGTAGTTGTTCTTACTGCGATACATTCTAATAATAATAATGAGTTGCCTTTTGTTGGCTCTTCTGCCTGGATTTCATTGACAGATGCGTTTAAAAGTCCATGGATCTTTCCATGAGTGACATGCGAACTGTAACTATTATTATTATTATTAGACCCACAAAATCCTAATCATTACTTCATTAATCATCGGGGGAGGTGAAATGGAAAAAGTTTCAAGGCAAACTTGACTGTCACCACCAGGAATCCAACCAGGAATCTTCACTATAGGCCAAGCGATGTTATCAGTATTCTTCACTATAGGCCAAGCGATGTTATCAGTATTCTTCACTATAGGCCAAGCGATGTTATCAGTATTCTTCACTATAGGCCAAGCGATGTTATCAGTATTCTTCACTATAGGCCAAGCGATGTTATCAGTATTCTTCACTATAGGCCAAGCGATGTTATCAGTATGCCGCGGTGACTATGTGTAGTCATCATCCCAGTCGTCATCCCATATCTATTTACCCTCAAAGTTCACTAATCAGTGCAGCAGCAGCAGCAGCAGCAGCAGTCTAATAATACATGTACTAGTATCCTGATTGTGTTTCTGGTGATAGGGGGAATCACGGTATCACGGCAAGTACAGCTTTAAAGTACTAGTATTCAGCTTCAACTGTTCAGCTCTGGGGTTCAGCTCTGGGGTTCAGCTCTGGGGTTCAGCTCTGGGGTTCAGCTCTGGGGTTCAGCTCTGGGGTTCAGCTCTGGGGTTCAGCTCTGGGGTTCAGCTCTGGGGTTCAGCTCTGGGGTTCAGCTCTGGGGTTCAGCTCTGGGGTCAATCAGTTTGCTAACCTTATTTGTCCTTCCTCCGCTGTGAGTCATTGACCAATGTAATGCTGTTGTTGATATTGCTAGGAGCACATACATGTGCCACTTACACGTACATGTATTTGTATATACTGCATTGCGTTACACTGCTCTTTCGTCCAGGATGATTAACGAGAAGGAGGCAGAGCTGAGAGAAGTCAAGGACGCTCAGAGCAGACTGCGCGAGCACATCCGCTCGCTCACCCACTTCGAGAGGGAATCAAAGCGCTATGTGAAGAGCTTAGCTGATGAAGAGGACAAGCTGACTGGCATTGATGCTGAGATCAAGGTTAGCCCCCAGCCACTCACTATAGATCGTATCAAGAGTAGATAAACAAGAGTGTGCAACTCCGGATCTCTCCTGCACAATCTGCAGATACCCCCGCCCACGGCGGAATTTTTTGTTGACGTCACCTTTTTTCAGAGAAACGCGGACTTTACCGCAGAGCAGTGTGAGAGCACGTGCTGGGCACCGACCTTGTAGTGTAAAGCCCGGCCAAGCGCACGAGGGAAACCTCTCCAAAAGGCTCGCAGCGCGTGCGTCATCGAAAAGATTACGTCAACAAAAAATTCCGCCGTGGGCCAACCCATCCGCGAGTTGCACACTCTTGTTTATCTACTCTTGATCGTATCGATCATGACCAGAGTTGGTCACGTGACCAGAGTCGGCCATGTGACCAGAGTCGTTTACATGATCAGAACCAGAGTCGGTTACATAACTAGAATCGGTCACATGACCAGAGTTAGTCACATGGCCAGAGTCGGTCGCAAGATCCTCATCACCTACTGTAGGCACATGATCAGGGCCGCATATTGTTGTCGTTTTTACGACTTATGCGAGTATTAAAGGGCATTTATACCAGAAATGATAAATGGAGTCCGTAAGTGCATGTTCCCCGTCTTTGGTATCTAGCCATGCCTGTGAGTCCTGTCATTGGTATCTAGCCATGCCTGTGAATCCTCATACTCTCTCAGTTACAGCAACAAGTTGCTCAATTTGGTGAAATTCGCCATGTTGCTTTGAGGCAATGCTCTCACTAGGGAGGGAGAGAGAGAGAGAGAGAGAGAGAGAGAGAGAAAGAGCTCGCGTGTCAGCTGTGCTACCATTTTACGCTATATCTCTTGTAAGAAGGCCTTAGGCCTGTGGGGATTGCCCTATCAACAATTTAATAATAATAATAATAAATTAATAATAATCTCCTTCTGTCCCCTTTTCACCAGGCTCTCAAGAATGACAAGAAAGCAGAGAAGCGCCGTCATGTCCAGAAAATCGACTCCGTCAAGTACCACCGCAAGGATATACCCGCGCCACGCGCCAAATAGATTTCGAAAGCGCACGCTAAGTGCTTCTTTCCGATTGCCCCTGACTGTATGCAAACCTGGGTTGCCACTGTGAAGCCGTGCAGACCTCTTTTCAGAGCAGTTCTGCATTTTAGAAGTGGCGGTGTTTACATCCATCCACAAGTTATTGTGTTTTTACTCAGAAAAGAAAATTCATTTTTGATTCACTGCATTGTTTTGCTTCTATTACCCTTCCCGTTTGCATGTTTCCCGCAAACCGATGAATATTTTTATTACGCTGCCAACCTTTTCCATGTTCACTTGGCTGAAGGCTTATACTAGTTGCAGTGGCAAAGCTTGCTGTTTTTTTGACTTTTGGATGATCCTATTTTCTAGCACATTTTGATAAAATATTATCTTAACGATTTCATCATAAAACCCTGTGTAATATCAGCACTGGTCGACTGTACTACATGTGTATCGAACACCCGATTGTGCAGAAGAATTACTTTGAGTAGTTCTTTACGAGTATAGTCAGACCTCGCATAACCGCACACATCCGTTTTCCAGAAAAAAAATCGGGACAGGCGAGGGAACCGGATAATCGAATACACATACTATGGTGTGCATGTCATATGCTGTAGATCGGTAGCCAGCGATTATCTTCCGGATGACGAGGGATCCGGATAAACGAGGACCGGAGAAGCGAGGTCTGACGGTATAGCCGAAGTTCGTTACAACAGAAATGCACTCATACCATACTAACTGCAACACGTCGTCATGACTTGCATGTGGCCCAAGGCTAGGCTGGATGAGTGCACTTGGTTATCATGCGGCCCTACAAGAAATAGTTCATTATAAACGAAAGCAGTTCGTTACAAAGGGTCAATTTTGTATGGGTTCAAACAGAGACATGGCAATGGTTTGCTATAATTATCACGAAATCCGCTATATACGAGTTTGTTATAAGTGAAGTCGACTGTACATGTCCTGGTAATCCTCAGATCATGCTCCATGTGGCTTTGATTTCTTTCCCCAGTGTTTTGTTTGATACGGTGTCTGTCATGTCAGCTCCGAGGTGATCACAGTTCAGCCCAGCCCCAATATGACAATTGAGAATAGGACTGATACCAAATCTGCTCAGTCCCGGTATGGCCTGGGGCTCCAGTCTCGCCGACCCGGGGCGTGGGTTGGATATAAACCCACCGCTGCCACAATGAAAAGAAAAGATTACACTAGATGCACGCATGCAGCATCGCACGGGGAAGGGTAGTGTAAGTTTGCCATACTCAAGTGCTTTACAGAGCAACAGTTGAAACGCTGACAGGAGATGTGACTCGTTTCGTGACGTTTACAACATCTCTCCCTCACCTTCACGGTATTCTTTAGAAGACACCCTTTGATAGGTATCCATTCGCCTCAGAAGAATCCTTGAAATACGAATAATGTCAATGACTCAATGTCACCGTATGTGTGGCATCGTGACATGCACTGGACCAAGAAATCGTGTGGGTACACAGTATCCCGGCACGCAAATACTTATTTCTTCATGTACCCTAGTTGTAAACACTAGAGTACAGGTTTATCTCAATCTGCACCATAATATTATTATAATAAGGAGTGTATGAAGAAATCAAAAGTCCGCCAGCTCGTGTTGACCAGCCACTAGTGGTCAACGCTGCACAAGTCATGGGACAGAGTAATAATAATACTGTACTTCAACTTAGTATGGACCGAAGTAAAAAGACTAGATACGAGTCAAGAAAGATCCAATAAAGGATTGCGATCAATTCAGAAGAGGTCAGGGTTTGAAGCAGACATAGGTGCATGGTGGGAGTGGACAAACGTGTATCAGACCCGTAGATAATTTAGCTGACAACAAACGGGTGCTCAACACATACACGTATGTTAAAGTGTGAAAGCCGCTCAACAAATTACCAACTCTATCAAGAATGAGCAAAGTGACCCTTCTTCTGCCACAGCCCTCCTTGTTATACTTGAAGTAGTTAAACCAGGCCTTTTGATCAATCAATCAATGCTGTGAACACTTTCTTTGCCCCCCCCCCCCCCCCCCCCTGATCTTACACAAAGACTACAGACGTACAGTATCAGGACAGCCATGATGAGGCATGCGATTGAGACGCATGAGTTGCATTTGCTAGAATCAGCCGTGTCAGTGCATCAGCATGGCGCTTGCCTCGGTCATAGTCCACTCTCCAGTCGAGCACATCACCGTTACCAAGAGCAAACTCATCGCGCCACTCCTCTGGCGGCGGGCATCCGTAGTGCGAGGAGTCAGCAATCCATGGACTGGGTGCAGGCAGACCTTCCTCAGAATGCTTCCTCTCCAGCTGCTGTCGTTCAATCACTCGGTCACACACTTTGCATTCAAAAGCAACGATGAAATTCGGCTTACTGCTCAGTTCTAGAAGCACAGAATCCGAAGAAAAAACCCACGAGTGAATGCATTGTAACATATACACCAAGATAGACTGCACTGCATATACTGCACTGAAGTATTTATGGCAATACCCCCCCCCCCCCCCACCACCACCACCACACACACACACTCTCTCTCTCTCTCTCTCTCTCTCTCTCTCTCTCTCTCTCTCTCTCTCTCTCTCTCTCTCTCTCTCTCTCTCTCTCTCTCTCTCTCTCTCTCTCTCTCTCCCCCCCCACACACACAGCATGTGCATGGGAGAGTACATGCACATGCTGCCTATACGCTCCCTATAGTCTACATATCTGTTACCATGGTTACACCATCTAGCAACAGCTGTGGATGATAGATCACCATGAGCTGTGAAACACTCTAAGATCTTCAGAGACGGTGACCACCAACACAGTACAATGCAGCTCCGGTAAGTTACTAGGTTTAAGTCTGATCCAGTATAGAACACGTGATATCAAACATCATTTTAGTAGATGATTTTACCTAACTATTGCACGCACCGTCAAAGAGCGAGGCGTTTTCCTCGAAGTTGGCTGCTGAGTACGGCCGGTCTTCTAGACTGGACTTGAGTTTTTCATTCGTGATGTACTCTGGACCTTTCTTGTACTCCAAGTACTCCCTGTAGGCCGTGTCATTGCTATCCAGGTATTTGATGTAGTCTGCCAGTGCTGCAGGGTTCTCGAACTCATCATAGACCAGCGCAGATCTATGCGTTGGAAGCCACTCGTTCACATTGGGCGCACCACGGTAGATGGGCACGGTTCCTAAATGGAGCGGCCTCCACAGTTTCTCCGTGATGTAGTCGTCGCAGATGCCATTTTCAAATGCAATAATAAACTTGTACCTGTAGCGAACACACATAGTTTCGTCAAGAACATCATGTATAGCACAGAATCAAGTCTCTGCAGTATTACATGTAGCCTGAAAGCTGGTATGCATGTCCACAGATACTCACTTGCGGAGAACATCGTAGAAGCCTTGCTGGAACATTGCATGCGGAGTCTGGTACTCCTCTGGTAACTTGCGGTTGTTCAAACACTCGCCTAGTGCATCCACAGGGATGTGTTCCATCAGCTTCTTGACATACCTGGGAAGGAGAATATTCCAAACCCCACATCTAATTGTATGCATGTACTCGACAATGCAGGGATCTGCAGAGGCTCCCTACATACCGAGCACAATGAACAGTGGGCTAACGGTATAAATTGAATAGGGACACTGGCCGGCAGAGGCAAGATTGCATATAGCTCAGATGTGCACGACAGAACGATAAGAAAGAGCACCCTATCCAACACACTGAAACGGGGACTGACTCCCCCGGGCTGATCGACCGTTGCTGATTAACATTACCGCAGAGATACCGTACACAGTAGGGTTAATCCTCTGCTAGCATAGTGCTCAATGCCCACATGGACAGAGCTTCCTCATAAATCATTTGCATTGCAGAGATAGTGCAGTTCCACAATAGTGTACTTGCAACAAGCACCGGAGGGATATTAAAATCCTTCAATGATATTCGAATCCCATGAAACCCCTGCTGGTGAGGGCAGCGGATTGGTTAGATCCACGGGTGCCGCTCCGTGTCCAAAAGAACACCGGAGTATGGTATCAACTATCGATGGCTACATCAGCATTGGCTGCTTACGTGTCCCTGTAGGATGGGTTGATACAGGTAGACTGGATATACGCCACTGCGGCTAACTTATGCCGCTCATCATTGCGGTATATGTTCTTCTGCTCAACTGGGACCGGCGCTGCAGACAGCAGATAGTCCAAGTTAGGTAGATACTGCAGTGTCAGTGGAAGATCGGAGGCTTGGCGGAACGTGGACGTGATGTTAAACAAGCTAATGCCAGCATCGTGTGAGTACATAGCATTGTTCTTGGGCGATTCCTCGTGGAGCAGTGCCCACATGTGATGCTTCAACCTGGGCAGAGGGGCGGCTTCAGGCTTGCTGCCACTGCCATACATGAGCAATGCTCGCGTGTTGTCATTCAAATACATAGGTGCATGTTGAGCATGTTGAGATTTTACAATACAAGACCCTCTCAAGCATGATATTTCATGTCCTTTGCTGGGATCCGTGGGACTCATACCGTGCCAAACAAGCCACGGCAATTTATTCATCCGTTCCTCCGGTACCTGTGACTCGGCAGGCTCTGCATCACCAGTGCTAGTACTGTCGGCGTCCTGCGCACGTGATTCAGCATCCCATCCCACACTCTCTACTGTGTATCCTGAGTCTGTGTTGTTAATGCCGTCGTCTCTGGTGCACATGAACAGCATGGCAGCGGCGAGAACTGCTCCAGAAATCACCAACACAGTCCATGTGTTCATCATCCTGTCACAGCTGTGATATAGGCTCAGCACTCATAGGCTAAGTGGAATTGATTGCATGTGCCATACGATTAATCGGGTAGAAGCGGAAAACACAGACATCTGCTTTCACTGCATGCCCATGGTACGTTCCAGGCTCCTAGCTTCAATAAGAACGCTATCGATATTCTTGAGTCTGTAGAAAAACTTATTTGCAATACTAGTACTGCGTGTAGCGCACTAACCACCAGCCATACGACAAATCCGAGGAATACAGCCACTCCCAAGACAATTTGAAATGAACAATTTGCAGAAGTGAACCTCTCGGTGCTCTTGAACGATGCCAGACCTAGATCACCGGGGACACGACAAGGACAAACACAGCGTGCGGGAAAATGTGGCCCATCTTTTTCCGTATCGCTGTATACATGGTATATTAAAAAGACATTATCAGAACAAGACATAAACGACAGAGTTGCGTACATGTACTGAGAATGTGATGCTCTTGAGACAAAAGTCAAAACACGAAACGCATCCTCGGCCTCACGTGCACTCACTGCAAAAGCGGCACGTGCAGATTCTATTTTTTGTGAATGCAAGTCGCAGACAGACTGTCAGTCGGTGCATGCATACCACAATTTCGCTACATGCAGTACCCACTGCCCAGGTATACACCGGTACAAGACTAGTACATGTATCTGCAAAACATCGTTTCCGGAGCGGCATTGTTTGAACGACTTTTTACGTTCTCGACAGTATAATTATAGTCGGATTCCCGAAAAGGTCTTTACAAACAGCAGGACAGGTGAAGAGCTTAGTCAGCAGTAGACAATACTCAACAGTGCTAGATCAAAACCGTGACGGTAATCCTCGCAATACGATATTCACGGAGCAGCAGTCTTTGGTCTGGGCTTGCAAGTTGCCAAGAGAAAATGTTGAATCTTCAATATTTTCGCATTCCAATGCTATCATAGCCTAGACATAGGAGTCAGTCGGAGGGCATCAGCATCGTTAGTGCTGCATATTTTGATTCAGCAGGCGGCTAGCTGAGAAGTCGGACTTAGCGAGCGTTGGTCGGGTTGTCGGTGGTGGACACGTGCACTGCCAGTATGCTGGCAAGATGGATTTGGCTACTTTTTTCCCTAGTTGTTCTAATCGCCTCGATCGCCTTTGTTCGAGAAAACATGGATGCACTATTAGGAGTAGATGACGTAGCCTTGGACGATGGCACGGAAGGGCAATTGCCAGATGAGGACGAATCCACGACTCAATCAGAGCCTGGAGAGCTGGAAGTGTCGGACGAGAGAAAGGCCGAGTTGCCATGGTTAATATGGCATGGTATTAGCCCCATTCTAGAAACTAAAGGAAGAGAAATCACGTGTCAGCGGGGATCTTGTATTGTTGGGTCACAAACACCAAAACAGGCACCTATGTATCTGAATGATAACACGCGAGCATTGCTCATGTATGGCAGTGGCAGCAAGCCTGATGCCGCCCCTCTGCCCAGGTTGAAGCATCACATGTGGGCACTGCTCCACGAGGAATCGCCCAAGAACAATGCTATGTACTCGCACGACGCTGGCATCAGTTTGTTCAACTTCACGTCCACGTTCAAACAAGAATCCAACATGCCGCTGACTCTGCAGTACCTGCCCAATCTGCAGTATCTGCTTGCGCAGCCTGTTCCGTTAGAGGAGAAAAATCAGTACCGTCAACAAGAGAATGGATTGGCCTCAGTTGCCTATGTCCAGTCCACCTGCAACAACCCAGCATATAGAGATGCGTAAGTACATACATGTACATGTACATGTCTAACTGTGGAGCAAGTTTGATGTGTCCAAAATGGGAGCATAGTCTATTGCAAAGCATGCCATAAGCTACTGGACTTTCAACGCGCAAAGCTCAGTAGATCTTCGATGTGTCCCCGACTGAGTATATTTGAACGCTACCAACCTTTTTTTTCTTAAAAAAAATTCTGAGCTGTCTTATATTGTGGAGGAGGCTGAGGCCACACCAGTCGTAGCGGGTTATTCCGTGGCATGCCACGCTTAGGTCACCAGTGTTATTGGCCATTTGCTGTGATTGGCTGTTGACCGTCTTGGTCTGGTCGACGAAAATACCCATCCTTATCGGCGTCAACATCGGAACGGACCACAACAACGTCGACCGGACCCAGATGTTTGACAGCCAATCACAACATGTCTTATATTGTTTTATATTGAATTACCCTGAGCCCTACATGCATGCACACATGTCCATGTCCCCCCCCCCCCCACACACACCCATCAGCTATACACAGGCCACCCACAGCAGTCTTTACTAAGGACTCACCTGCGTTCACACGGCCTTGTTTGGTTGACGTCGGCGTTATCCTGTAGGTACGTGAGGAGGTTGATGGAGCATATCCAAGTGGACTCGTTGGGCAAATGTTTGAACAACCGCCAGCTACCTGAGGAACTACGGAACGCGTCCGAAATGTTCAAGGACAGTTTCTATAGCGTTCTCGGGAGGTATGTAGTACACGGTACAGTACATCACATAACTCATGTGTCCTCCTAGTGGCACTGCAGCTATACATAGAATAGATTTTGCAAACTCCCTGAAGAGTGCTCAATGCGCAAGGCGAGGAGCTTTTTACATTCTATAGAAGAGAGAGGATCCAAGTGGATAATTGTACCTTAAAGTTCATGCCAAAGCAGTCGTCAGATATCTGTTGTTCTGACCTAGAATTATCATTATCACCAGTACTGCTTGTGTTTGATGGCTATACAATCATATACAAGTAGTAGAAGTATGTAGTGTAGGCGTAGGCAATGGTTATATGGCAAACATGCTCTAGCCTACTGCACTGGTAGATGTATCTCAGGATAGATCTACCCGATGTACAATGTTACAGAATACAGATACAATCAGTTACAGATACAATCAGTTACAGATACAATGTTACAGATACAATGTTACAGATACGAACTTTGTCAGCACCGAGTAAGTATGGGAATCAAAACGCACATTGTTGATGGGCCTCATTCTTTATTACTTTGAAGTAGTATTAGCGTATCGTAGCATACTACAGTATAGCTATGGCCACCAGTGCTATCTATCACTGAACCATGCGAATAAGGATCATGCCTGTGCTGTGTGCACTTGAAGTGCCGTATAAACGATAAGATGCACCCGTTCTGGAAGTCTTGAGCTGGATTTCCTGCAATCATTTCACGAGTAGTATTCTCGCAAGTCTGTTAGTCTCCATGTGACCGGCATGTGATCTTTTGAAAAGTATATGTATAGTGTTGCTCAATGGTATCCAGTCCCGTCACTCAAGCACCTGCCGGGCGTTGCACAGCCCTAGACCTGCGAACCCTGGGCTGCGAAATGGTGCAAGGCGCAAACTTGAGTGACGAGACTGGATTTCATTGAGCAGGACTGTGCTTGTAGTATATATAGTCAACATTTAATGGTATCAACGTGCTACTCACTTCAGGTAAGTTCATCACTAGTTCACACTGAAAAGTCATACTATGTAGCTAACGGTTCCTCTCTACTTTAATTGCTGCAGGTACAAGTTTATTATTGCATTTGAAAATGGCATCTGCGACGACTACATCACGGAGAAACTGTGGCGGCCGCTCCATTTAGGAACCGTGCCCATCTACCGTGGTGCACCCAATGTGAACGAGTGGCTTCCAACGCCTAGATCTGCGCTGGTCTATGACGAGTTTGAGAACCCTGCAGCACTGGCAGACTACATCAAATACCTGGATAGCAATGACACAGCCTACATGGAGTACTTGGAGTACAAGAAAGGTCCGGAGCACATCACCAATGAAAAACTCAAGTCCCGTCTAGAAGACCGGCCGTACTCGGCTGGTAACTTTCAGGAGAATGAAACTTTGTTCTTGGGTAAGTCACTGTATTATGGCCTGGATAGCAATCTTATTTCTTCTTTGTGAAAACTATTTTTGGCCCACACTATGCTCTAGATGTGACAACTGTGACATGACAGTGGAGCGGTGACAGTAGTATTGATGCTTCGTGTCTTGTGGCCATGCTCCATGCGAGCACGAACTTTCTTGGTGTGAACCGGTCCTGGATGGTTCTTTAAGCAGCACATGCGGCATGCAGTCCAGGACTTGCAGTCGGTCCTCACAGTCTCAATCTGTCATTGCATTACCGTCCCTACCCAGCAACTGTCACTCTGAATATGCATGGTGATCATGCCCGGGTATTTTTTGCCATTGCTGCATTTCCAATCCATTGTTGCCTGCAGAACTGTCTTCACAGAAGCAGGATTTCGTCACTGTATTCGAATGCAAAGTTTGCGATCGGGTGGTTGAGCGAATGGAGTTGGAGAGGAAGCATTCGGAGGAAGGCCTCCCTCCACCGAATCCATGGATTGCCGATTCCTCGCATTATGGTTGCCCGGAACCAGAGGAATGGCAGGATGAGTTTGCAGTAGGAATGGATGATCCACTTGACTGGAAATTAGACTATGAACAAGGCAAGCGTAATGCTGCTGCACTTACTCGGATGATCCTAGCGAATGAGTCGGATGCCTCGAAGTTGTATTCCGACACCTATTATTAGACAGTATTATGCAGGATAGAATGGAACAGTGCAGTGTGCTAAAGACATACGAATCATTGTGTTTGCAGTAGATTATGATACTTTGTCTGAAGAGAATATCCGTATAGTCTATATGCTGACTACCTCTTTAGCAGGGGAGTTGTCAACTACCCCGTGTGTATATTGATCACTGTACCTAGGTGGGTGGATATGCAGGCAATGCATGGCACTAACATACAGTCAGACCTTGCTTATCCGGTCCTCTTTTATCCGGATCCCTCGCCGTCCGGAAGAAAATCGTTGGTTACCGATTTACAGCATATGTCATGCGTACATACGGTATGTGTGTTCGATTATCCGGTTCACTCGCCTATCCAGATACTATTTTGTGGAAAATGGATGTGTGCGGCTAAGTGAGGTCTGACCGTAGTTTTATTACGAGAAACCATGAAACTCGAGAACAGAATACGGTAGGATAGAGGTGGCTAGTCTTCATATTATACTACCGGTATTATCAGTACTAGCAAGTCTAGCATGACACAAAATATAATTATCGAGATATGATATTATTTTCTGTTAGGATCATAAGCACATTCATAGCAATATCTTCATTAACTTTTGTTAGAACCATGTTGACAGATGCTTGTCCTTGTAAGTTTTTCCGGGTGGGGTGTTCCTGGCTTCGTATAATTATTTTCTTTTATTATAAATACCTCCAGGCCTGAGGGCAGTACTATATTGGCTCAATCTGCTTCTTCTGGTATGGCTTGATGTTATGGTATGGCTTGATGACAACCAGCACATCTGCTGCATTCAACTCTTGGCTATTGCGTTTTCACCGCATAGTGCTCAGTTTCTTCAATCCTCCTCTGCACTGTCCTTGGCTATTCCTTCACACATTGCTGATGATGCCCCCGCCGACCTATTCCTGGGTTGTATTATAACTACTCGAGATCATGCCCATTGTACAGTCGTGGCCAAGGACATCAGACCGGGCCATGAGTCTAAAGTAACGCTGCGTGTACATTTCAATGACATGCACGATCCAATAACCCATCCGAGGGCCGTATGAGCCTTGGCGCTGCTTTAGGCTCACAGGTTGTATTTCTTTGGCCACAACTGCACAGAGAACATGTACGGATTGTGAATGTTGGAACAAATCTGTTCTAATCGTACGCGAAGTCCACTGCAGCTAGCTGCATGTGCATGTGTATGCCGTACTGTACTGCAGGAGTGGAGACTCTGGACTAACATTGGACAAGCCTTACAACCTGGCTCAGTGGTAAACCATGCAGAATGCTTGGTGTATACGGGCTTTATTGGCCATGCATGTAGCCTATCATCAAGAGTGCATAGCTCCTGCTAATAATAATTCCGGCACCATTTTGAAATTGAGATGAAAGTGCAGCAGTTGCCGTTATTGTGAATTTTCATCCAGCTGGAAACTCATGTGCAAGTGGTACATCCTTGTTGGGCAGGCAAAAGTAGATGCTGCAGTACTGTGCCTGTGTGTTTGTCCTTGCGTGAATGCAGGCTTATATACAAGCAGTGTTTCTTATTAGCTATCCTCAATCTCAGATAGTTATACTAGTAGGGTACTTACTTGACAGCTTGCTCCGTTTGGCAGCACTGCTTGGCCACAAAGTGCAAGCGTTCAGGATGTCCAACCTCGGGCCAGGATCAGTGGCATTGCTCCAGTCTCTACCGGCTCACCACTAGCAGTACATCACGGTACATGGCTGCATTCTCAGTAGTACAGTATACAAGTAATGATGAATTATTGTACGCTTTTCGAGTTGAAAGGGGAAGTATATGCACAGAAAACTCTCCACTTGGCAGTGACAGACCATGCGTATGACGATTGTGCCTTCCCCAAACACACACCATGTACCATGTATACGCCCGTCGCATGTACCATGTATACGCCCGTCGCAAGAGAAGCACACAAATCTGCAAATGCACACCACACACACACACACACACAACACACCAACTCCGATCGTTTGACTCACAAGTGCATCACGTCCATCTTGATGGCCGTGATTCCTTATCATGGCTTTTGTCATGAAGTTATGTACAAGTCATGTACATAATCATTGCAGTCGAACAATTACATGGTATTGCCTATTGCAGTATACTATTGGTAGTCGAACATGGACCAGTTGGTAGATAGACCTGTACCATAATCTACTTCATCTTGAGTAACAGTTAGAATGATGTAGACCATGACCTGATGACATCTGCCATGATCTGGACACTTATTCGTGTTATTGACAGACTAGACTACGCCGGTCCGGAGTACATGCTGTACTGTTGCCATAGAAATGCACAGAACGCTTTCAAAAATCATCATGTCACTGCCAGTGCCACTCGCACCACGTAGATCTACTCCACCGTCGACGCGTCCACGGCCTCGCGTACGCAACGATCGCGGTTTACAGCTACTAGTACTACTGTAGTACTGAGCTAGCCGAGCTCAAACTCTTGTCACACATGATAACACACAATCATTCCCTTTTTACTTGCCGGCATAGTGCATAGCAGACGAAGAGGCAAGGATGATGGGTTGAGCGACAGGCCTCGACTAGAACCGTCCACCTCTTGTCTTGTTCAAACCACGGTGTTCATTCAATCGACAGTGCACACACACACACACGCGTTAGTGGCGATCGTATTTTGTGATGCATAGCACCAGGCAGTTCAGTTAGGGAAATAGTAGTTGGGTAGATTTTCGTAATGGACAACTCACCGACGGTGATAGAGAACCAAGAAAATACAGATGGTGGTGATGCTGATGGTGGTGGCGGCGGTCATGATAATAATGGGACGCCAGGGACAAGCCATGCTCCAACTGTTCGTCTCGAGGTGAATGGACCAGATGCCGGCACGGAGACTGGGAATGGCGGAGACGGGACCGATGCCGGTCGTGCGCACTGGCGAACATTCTACAGGACGAACGGCTGCAATTGGCCACCGCACGGAGCGCAGGTATCCCTGTGGATCCTAGTGCCCATTCTGAGCCTGCTGCATTTTGGTATTTTGTTAGGTTATCTACCAAGTCTGGGACTTCGAGTAGCATTCTATGTGGTAAGTCCCCCAGTAAATAGACATTTTTATGTGGTAAGTCCCCCAGTAAATAGACATTTTTATGTGGTAAGTCCCCCAGTAAATAGACATTTTTGCCATCCCTCTACTGAACTCTGTAATAATCTTCGACTAGAGTCTGAGAGATGTGCTCCTTTGCCCAATCGCACTTTTACTGTTAGAGGCAGTGCATAGGCCGGGGTAGGGTTCTGTGCATGTATTGAAACTGGGAGTGATGGAGTGGAGGTCTTCCTGGGGTGGCATTTCAAAATGGCTTGATCCAAAATATAACCTGCCTGTTTCATTTGAATGGAGCCATTTTGATTGCCCCCCCCCCCCCCTGATTCCTACCTCATGACATGTAAAACCAGTGCCAGTGCTCATTGCCTGTGTTGTGAATGTTTCCATGAAACTGTCTATTGCAAGTGTATCTCAGATGATTCGCCGAGTATTCAGTTTCTTGAGACGTGCTTTTTTACTCTTTGATATGCACCTTCACACCATTAAGTTCATGCAGGTTTTTGTGCTGTGATATCATTCTTTACATCATACACATGTACATGTAGGTATCGGCAACTTTGTTCTTGCCGGCAATCGCCTTCACTATCCGCGCCACCGTGCTCAATCCAAGCGACGCTCGTGTCAAGCAGAAGCAGCACAACAGGAGCTGGTCACCGCTGCCTGAGTACGACCGTGCCAGGCACGGGCGAGTCATCCAGAAAGGGCACTGCGCCATCTGTCGGTCGAATGTGTGAGTGACCGTGTTGCGTGAATCTTGCTAGCCTGCGCACGTAGTGGTGTGCAATGGCGTGCGGGTCATTGGGACTTCAGGTACTGCTCCATTGCAGGTGATAGCGAAGCAGTCAAAGCAGAGGTCAAGTACATGATTGCCAGACACTGAGAGAGAAAAGAGCCTAAGCTGCAGGGCTGTGAGGACTCTGTGTATAGTGGGCTCAGTTGCTATGGCAAACACAGCGGACCCCTAGTGCTTGTCTGTATGGGAAAAACTTATCTTTTTGAAACCGCGCTGGGTTCACCAAGAAACAAGCAGTCGAGGCAGGCCTGAAAGTGCCAGTACATGTATGGTAAAGGCTTTTCAGATTTCAGCTCTTGTAGCATCGGTCGATGTGGTCGAGTTCTATGTCATGGCCGGGCCAGAGTCATGACAGTCACAGTACTGAGTTTTGTGTCCACTTGGATCCGGATTTTGTATGGACCCTATACTTGTTTAGATGTTTTCCTTCACACTTGGGTGGTATATCTGTCCACAGTGACTGCCCTGGACCCTCCTGGCCGGTGAACCACTGCTGGTGTTGAACAAAAGTCGCTCCAGAATGCATCATGAGGGACCTTACCACCAGACGCTGTACTTTATTATGGTCAGAGGATCCAATTTCACTGATAAGTCATTATTTATTGACTTCTGATGCCATCACCCTCAAGGCTCAGTCAAGCCCTATCTGGTTATGCTGTATTGGAAAGGCTTCCTGTCTGAAGCCTTTCCATACTGGTACTCGATGTTCCAGTTTTGTGACACGAGAATGGCACGAGAATTAGTGTACCGCTGAGTGTACCGCTATACACGTGGTCGACACGTAGTCGACACGTTGTTGATACTTTTTTGACACGTGACCCCGTCAACGGTCTGCTTTGTGCCAATGCCACTCGGTAAACGCCGATGTCGCGTACGACAAAGACGACTATCCCGTACGCGAAATAGTTGAGAACTGCATGACGTGGACCTGACGGCAAGGACAACTGCGAGGAGGCCCCTTTCGGTACCCCTGACGGGGAGGAGAACTACAGAAGTCGACGAAGTCGAACGAGGAGGCCCCTTTTCCGTACCCCATACTGCAAAGTGCCATTGATGGATACCTTTCGCACCTGGAACGACCCCTTAAGCGCTGTCGCGGCGACTATCCCGTACGCGAAATAGTTGAGAACTGCTGACGTGGACCTTTTGCACCTGGAACGGCCCCGTAAACGCTGTCGTGTCGGCGGAGTGAATGTGCAGGGCGAAAAGAATTGCTGCAAAGACGTCCCCTAGCCCTCTAGGCCTTTAGCTTTGGAGACATCGCCGGCGGACTGAATGCGCAGGGCGAAAAGAATTGCTGCAAAGACGTCCGCTCTAGGCCTTTGGAGACATCGTGGGAACTCCTTCCGGTACTATACAAACTGCTGACGTGGCCGTGGAGACATGGTGGGACTTCATGTACATGGATACATGGTGGGAATTCCTTCCGGCACCCCCATACCGCAAAGCCAACGGTGGGGAAGGAGAAGTGCAGACGTGCAGGAAGACGAACGAGGAGGAACCAGGACGAGCGAGCAATGGCAGGACTAGCTGGACCGTAAGTAATAGCTGAATTGTGAATGACAACTTGACATCCATGCGGCACTCGCCACTTGCCGCTGCATATTTCTTGTCCACTAACAATGTCTCTCCTCTGCCCCCCTGTGTGTCCACAGCCCTGTTGCTGAATTGGCCCGATGAATCGAATGTCTTCCGCAACTGGAACGGCCCAGTAAACGCTGTCGTGTCGGCGACTGAATGCGCAGGAGGGAAAATATTGCTGTGAAGACGTCTCCTCTAGACCACGGTAAGGCAACCCATTGATATGTTGCCAGTTACCTTCTACTAACACGTTATCAGGTCAAAAAAAATTAATGGTCTACAGTCGTGTCGGAAGGGTACGGTGGGACTGTAGACCTGTTACCTTCTAACACGTTATCACTATATCAGGTCGAGAGCGTATTGTAGTCACTCTCTCTATTCCTGTACTTCATTACGTTTCAGGTGTACGTATAACTTTTCCAAAAAAATTAATGGTTCACGTCTTCAGATAGAGAGCGTATTGCACCCACTGTCTAGTCTGTAGTGCATTGAGATTCTGTTGATCGCACATGAAAATGGATACACAGACAAAGCAGGCCAAGTACATGGCGAGATGTCGCCAGAAGAACGTCTTCAGATAGACAGCGTATTGCACCCACTGTCTAGTCGATTTTGTGGATCGCACATGAAATGGATACACAGACAAAGCAGGCCAAGTACATGAGAGAGTGGACGATGTGCGGATCGACACGGCCTGTGGGTACTTCATTAAAGTTACCCGTGACATAACTAGGATAAAAGTTAATCACAGCAAAGACATTGCCAAGTATGTGAGCACTTTGTACTTGACAGAAGAGTGCATGGGCGACGTTGACAAAACATACCGCGGTGACTGTCACCATCATGACAGCAGGGCACATCGCACACAGCATCGCAGATCGTGTCGAATTGCGCATCATAATATTGCAAAATTGCTCCTGTGCATGCAAGTGGATTTCATTGCACTTCTCAGTTTGGGAAATGCTCGATTATGACAATTCTGCATAAGTTGCGAAAAACTATGGCATCTTTGGGAAAGGGCTACTCATAGCCTACCTCACGACCTTCTGCTTTCTTTCTTCATCACTTGTATCTTGCAGGTATATCATCCCGTGACGACCACATTGAAGTCTGAATTTGAAGTGTGAAGATGCTTCAGCAACCACATCGTACTTTTCCATTGCTTTCATTGTGCTTCTACTGTACATGTGTGTAACTTGTGGGGTAAACATGTGATGACATTGTATGCTGGCGACACGGTCAGATGTTGTCCATGCGTCTAACGTAAACCTGCATGTTATGCATTGAAAAGGATTTGCCACTTGCGATCCTGGGACGAGTATCAGGTCAGCTTTGTCCTGTGTGGGCTGTATCAGATTGCTGTTCACTTCTCTATCTGTTGGATGTGTGACTTTCTGCAAGTTTCTGGTGTATGATGGCCACTTCCTTGCTTGTCACTTTGTATGATATTACATTCTGTATTCGCTGCTTCCATGGCGTGGTCTGCAAACTGCAATCCTTGGGCAAATGTCATGTTTGCTATGTTGTGCTTTGGCCGTCAGCTTGTCTACATGCTGTAGTTGCATTATTTTTGTTTCACAACTGACTTCCTCAAGTACGGTGGCCACTGCTTTGCATGGCATTATATATGAAGAACTTAGTTTCCTGTTTGTGTCGTGTGCATGTGCATGTGCGTGGCCACGTGTGTGTGCCGTGTGCATACGCATGTTTGTGTATCTGTGTGCGGGGTAGCGAGGCGGGGAGGGCTGGTATGTATCAGTGTGTTATTGCAATCTCATGGCTACATACAGTACATCGCGCGCGTGGTCATCATGTTTACCTTCGGGGTTGGGGTGGGGAGGGAACGGAAAAAGAACTGAAATTATCCATATAAAAACCACTCTGTGAGCGGTTCTGAAAAACCTTTACTGGTACTGCCCCGTCGTAAAAGTAAGAAATTAGAACTGGCCCATTGTCCCCCCAAATGCGAACTGATCCACCTAAATCGCGAATGACGGGACCCGAACGCACCAGTAGCACGAGGTTCCTACCTGTGAATGCAGATGGGGACGTTGGTCCGGACTATAGGCCATGTACTGACCGTCTGTACTAGCGGTAGGTGGTGTTACCCTATGAGAATTGCTGTCCTGTGCCCTCCCGACCTCGTGCTACTGGTGCGTTCGGGTCCCGTCATTCGCGATTTAGGTGGATCAGTTCGCATTTGGGGGGACAATGGGCCAGTTCTAATTTCTTACTTTTACGACGGGGCAGTACCAGTAAAGGTTTTTCAGAACCGCTCACAGAGTGGTTTTTATATGGATAATGCATTGTGTGACCGACCATGGTGTACTACTGTGCTGCGTACTGTACGGCATGTATTTCAGGGCGCACGACTCCAAGCACTGCGGCGCATGCAACAGATGCACGGAACGCTTTGATCATCACTGTGTGTGGCTGAACAACTGTGTTGGCATCGTCAATTACAGGTGAGACTCGAATGCAGCCGCATGCATGTAGATGCAAATCATCCAGTATTGATACTATTGTTACTGCTGCACCAGTACTACACCCGTGTTGCAAATGAGCACATGTAAATGTTCACCCTCTGTTACCATGATCATTGTGTGTGGACTGGTGTGATAAAGCAAGACAGACAGCATATCCATTCAACAAGTACACTGCACAGTTTAATCTTGCCACGGGTCAAGAGATCACCTGCATAGCCGTTTAGCAACGCCTGGTTTCAGCCACCACCAGGTCTGTCAACCAGTGCCGTAGTTTTATTTGGCATGCAGTGCCGTGTGGAATGTTCAAGATTCCTACTCCGGTGTCAGAGACCACCTGTGTTCAAAGACTGCACACTATTTCAGTCTCCGCAGGTGGTTGCTGAAACCAGGTCAGTTTGTGACCTGCATTTAGGTTTGTGTAATCATAGGCACCTCGACATGCACCTGCTGCATGTATGCACAATGGAACAGAACACGGTGTGAGGTCAGTGGTATCAACTTGGAAGATCATTATATTCTCAAAGCGACAAACTGTTCAGGAGCGAGATGTTTGGGCCCTGTCAATTCTCTACGGCCTCTTCCGAAGCCCACATCGATATGCATGCACTTCTTACTGTGTCCTAATATTCATAGCCGAATGTAGTCATCACGTCTGTAGAACTATAGGATAGGATTTCATTCAAACACAAACTGATGCCGGCTAGGAAGTGGCTGGGCAGTACAATGTGTTGTAAGGATTATGAAGCATGCATGTTACTCGCCAGCGTAGTCTAACAATCTTTGTTGTTTCTGCTCTTGTTCCACTCACCATTACAGGTCGTTTGTAATGTCCATTACGTTTGGTGCACTGTCGCTCCTGGTGCAGAGTGCTATATGCATATACATTATTGTTGTTTATTCAACTGAGGGTCGACTGGAGTTCTTTGAAGATGGTAAGTTTACTAGTCCTGCGTATAATGCAGCTTGGGCTGTGAATACAGGCTTTGCAATAGCTTGAGCTGTGAATACAGGCTTTTAAGTATAGGCTGTGCATTGTGCCAAACAGTCCTATCCTCGCAAGAGTTCATGAACCGATTATTGCTTGGAACTCGAGTTTAGATAATTATATGTATGTTTTGTTCCACTGGATTTTCGTTTGTACTGAAGCTCCGCACGTCGTGTATAGAGCACTCAGACCAGTAGTCAAGATGCCTTTAAAAAATTCACGGTTCGCGTGAGACTAGGCTGAAAGCCGAGTTTTCCGCACCGTCACTGTGTGTGGCTGAACGTCACCACCCTCTAGGATTCCTCTATGAGTTCATAATTTTTTAGTTCCATTTTGAGTCGGTGAATAGTCATAATCCGTAGTAACTTGACTAGTAAGATGCATTTGCCATTGGTGTATCTGGGGGGGGGGGGGGGGGGGGGAAGAAACCCACTCAGTGCAGTGCTGGGGTGCCGATACCACTAGTCTATAAGACCAACACGCAGCTGCATCCTCTGAGCCCGGTCAGTCTTGTATTATGTCTCCGTCTGCTTGTACGTGAACATCTTACAGGTACAACCATGTTCGGTTGCGATGTACCACCAGGCGCCATATTTGGAGTTGCTGTAGGCGTCCTCGTCATTTCCCTTATCAGTATTGCGTTCCTAGGCCATCTCATCGTCTACAATATTATAACTGGTAAGTCACCGTGTGGCGATCACAGGCGAGTACTAGTGCTACAGTGCATGTACTCCTATCCTGGGGATCGCAAGTGTACACACATACTGACATCCCCTGTCTCATTGCCAATGCTTGCTTCAATGCCAACTATCATCATCAAGTCTGCTGGAATAGATTCACTTGGCTGGGTGCATGGGGTACAGGCATGGTTTCGACATGGTCAAACGTGAGTCAGCACAGACATTTGATATCATCCTGAGTTCTGTATCGTAAGGTCAGTTGTGACCATACATACCTGCCCGAATCTACTGGTCAAGACTGGATGTGACTTGATGTGCGTGCTCGTCGCATTGCCTTCTCTACAGGTGTCCGCAGTATAACATATTATGACTACATGCTGGATAAGAGCAGGGACAAGGAGAGAGGAATAAAACAGCCATGCTGTGCATGTGGGAAGGTCAGTATCATACTAGGATAACGATCATGGTGATGGGCTGTCTGAATAGAACTCTATCTTTTCTGAATGTTGTACAGGACAAGAGTTGTGCTATTACATGTATACCGAACCTGATTTTAGATATCTACTGTACATGATGTCCTGGAGAATGCGCTATATTATCCTTAGTACCCTAAAAATATAACTCCCAAGTACATTGTTTGCTGACCGGGCAGTATGTTGTTGTACTGAAGGACAGGTGCCAGGGATTCTGCAAGAAGGATTATAGTTTGTAACAGCAAGGAATGCCTGGTTAAAGCCATGGTCGTGAGCCCACATGGAGATCACTCCTTGTGTATGGCAGTCTCTTGTATTATAATTATTGAAGTAAGTACAGTGCAAGTACGGTGTTTTCTGGAATATAAGCCACACTTGCAACACTCAAAATTCACTCAAAAAGGAGATGGGGTTTATACTACGAAAATCAAATTAACGGTGATAAATAGGGTCGATATCTGTATTTCGTGGCAAAAAATTGGGTTGGGGTGCAGCTTATACTCCAGTGCGGCCTATACTCTTGGACACATGGTAAGTGAATTAAGTACAATTGTTTTCAAAACCAATTTTTCCACAGAAAAGCAAGATAGTTCCTATCTCGAATTCCACCGAAGCAAGACCTGAAGGAAGACCCGAAGGAATGGATAAAAAACGACCAACCAACCTAAGTGTCTGGAGTGCACAGTGAGTACGGTGATGCTGTGTTTGGTGGTTAGTACTTGAAGTAGTTATCTAGTTGACCAAGATGAAGAAGCCTGTGTTGTTACAAAGATTGGGCTGCATGACAACGGAATACCTGAACTCATTAATAGAGAGGTTGCGATAAAAGCTAACGAGTATTCGTACAACGTGAGGTTGCGCACAACGTGCGAACTTTTTCGTAGTGGGTCGAGAAATATATTTGTAAATCTGCTCTGTTTCGGTCGCGTTTGGACGGATCTTCGTAGCAACTTTCGTTACTCGAACCCGGACGGTCACAAAATCTTATGAAGATTCGTTGTGCGCAACCTCTCTATTGGCAGAGAAGAGGACACACTAAAAGGGATAAAGTCTTCATGTTCCTGAGCTCGATAATATTGGGCTGAGGATGCAGCAAGTAGCACAGCTCTGCTCAGTCGTAATGGGTTACAAAATCTGCCATTTGTAAGTGAAATGTAATATGCGCTACTGCAGTGCGTGGTCTGGCACTGGGACGGTTGGTGTGTTGTCAGTTCTGATGGAATATGGCATGGGTTTGGCTTGAATATACGCCTGGCAAATAATTCATCACAGCCTCCTCATACATACCACCAAACTATTAAAAACTTAGAGCTCTCAAATTCTATACCGTCCAGGACCGCCGGAAGCAGTTTTCAATTGGTCGGGTAGTATCATGGCCTTTTATACAGTTTGTGTATGATATGGCGGGTACATGTGATATGGCGGGTACATGTGCTCCACAGTTTGAAACATGTGTCGGTAGCTAAAAAGTTGGTCCGGTGATAACCTGACCAACCGGACCGGTTCTGGCGGGTCTGCCGTTATGTCCATCGTTCTTTTGGATACACTAGACTATGTGCTACGCACATACCATGGTGCTATGTGTGAATTTGATTCTGTTTGGCAGACAACCACATGCACAGAGAACTGAGGCTACTGCTGAGCCAGCACCGGCCACAAGCGGCAAGAAACCGAGCAGGGTGAGTGTAGTCAGTGAAGACCGAGTGAACACAAACGTGTGGATGAACGGGAACACTAGTAGCTTATCATGAAGTTATTGATGTACAGTCAAAACCGCTCAGTACGTTCAGGGTGTAAGACGTACTATTGTGGAGTACATACTTTTCGCAGTATTGCAAATAATCACAGCGTTTGATTGCAGTACGGGTGTAGTAAGTACTTTGGCTAGGAAGTACACTTTCCGTGTTCCCTTGTGGGGACGTCATCGGTTTTGACTGTATTGCTAAATTGTGGCAAAACACATACTGTGCGGCAAATGGTGTATATCCAAGCACGCTGATAGACACAAACTGATTCATATACATCACAGTCCACTGTTTCTCTTTCTTGCTATGGTCACTACCCCATAGTTGTGAGTGGTTGTGCATACGCATGTGGTGTGCAGCAACATAAAATAATGATCATATACTGAATTATTTCTCTTTCCTGCTATCTAGACGTCTATCATAGCCTGGCCTGAAGTAGAGAATCAGAGAAGCCATGACACAGCTGCTGAGTCAGGCCCAGCCGCATTGCAAAACACCAACACAGAAGACGTCAGTGAGCCCAAGGAAAATCGAGATCGACTCCTGTTGCCCTCACACTCGGACTCAGTATCACAGCTTTCCTTGAAAACAATCGAAAAGCCAACGCCTGCTAACAATGATAGCACGCCAGCTGCAGCAGAAAACACAGTCGGAAATGCGCCAGCTGCCCAAGACCAACAAGTTCATTCCGAGGCGGTGAAGGCAGGGGCTACTGAAGGTGCACAGTCAACAGCTGCTTCTGATCTTAGACCTCAAGTGAGAAGTGACAGTATTGTGCAGCATGTGTCTGTTGAGATAGGCACACCTGGGGAACATCAGTCCAACGAGATTCCCGCTCACCTTCCAGGACAAGCTGTGCCTATTTCCCCTCCCCTGGAGAGAGCAGCTGGTCTTCAACCAGCCCCTCTGCCTCATCCACTTGAGATTTCTCCATCCCACACAGTGGTACAACCTCCTGTGACCAAACAAATCGGGCAGCATCCTGAACTCCCACGCAGCAGAGATGGAGATCAAAACAATAGCGCTGCGACCAGTGGTGACATCAGAGAGCCTCCCTCCTTGCCCATTGCAGAACTGGAACAATCCAGTAGTGCCACAGCTGAGGGCAAGCTACTTGATGCCAAAACAACCGCACCAAAGAAAGAATTGGAAAAGATCCCGGAAACCGGAGCTGTAGGAAGCACAAGTCAAAAACCCCAAAACGCTGATGGTATCAAGGCAGAAGCGTCGGCATCAGCAGCAGTTGCGGCAGCAGAAGGACTTGCGTCAAAGCCAGTGGTGAAGCTGGAGAAGAAGCTCTCCAAAAAGCCACCCTCTGCTGGCCCTCGCAAGCCACGGCGGGCATCTAGAGAGCTTCCCCCACTGAAGGGTTTTGGCAGCAAACTTAGCATGGGGCCGGTAAGTAGTGTCCCTGATATCAAGGTTGGCGAGCGGACCACCAAGCTCGCCAAGATTGAAGATGGTTCTGATGGGGCTAGTTAGTTCCGACTTGTCACAAAAGCGAATTTCACCAACGCAACACATTGCGTCAGTGGATCTGATACCCAGCTAAGGACTTGCTTCCACACTATAACATTCCATGTCATATGACTGTAGGGACAGATGGCTACTGAGGACTAGTGCACTTGACGTAACATGCATTGTATGCAGCCATGTCCAGACTAGTCATGCTTTTTGTCAAAAGTGAGAGAGACCGACTTGAACTTAGGAATATCTTTAGCTATAGGTCGACAAAACTGAATTATACAGTCTACACATCGACAACCTCTAGGTACCCTACTGTGCTGCGCTGTTCCATGCCGATGCACATTGCCTGTGTTATCCCGGTGCTGATAAAGAGCTCAATGAATATTAATTTTTTAATGTAATACTGCATGTACAGCGCTGCTCAATGAAATCCAGCCACTTCACTCAAGTGTGCGCCTTGCATCATTCCGCAGCCCAGTGTTTGCAGGTCTATGGCTGGCGCAACACCCGGCGCGTACTTGAGTGACGCGACTGGATTTCATTGAGAAACACTGCACTATCAGAGTTGGACATGTATCCCACTCCTGCATGGACAGTTGAATATCCCGGGTACAAACTTCATGTTTCTGCTGTTGCCAACACTTCTTATACTGACACGACTTCTACTGGTAGCTGCCTAAAATGAGTGTCTTGTGACTCCTCTGTGGCAGAAGAGTTGTAGTTTGTGAAGTACTTGCACCCAAGTGGCGTGTCCATCTTCCAGCAACTGGAAGTCCATACACATGTCTCTACTGCATACCTTCCAGTGGTGTTTTAGTCTACATGAGCTACTACCATACGCACACATACACTCCCGATGCTGCAGTAGCTGATTGTGTTCATTCATACTGCCCATTTCCCTTGCTCTGGGAAGGAAAGTGCCAATATAGTGTCTTAGTCAACTTGATTTCTACTATACCGGTATGTCCGACCTTGCACCACCCCTTCAGCTGCTGCCATTAAAGTATTGTCCGTAGTGAATGGTTATATTATTTTCTTCTGAGATATATACAATGTTCCTGCCAGGCAGATATCGCCATAAATATTTTCTTGATCTCCCCACCATCATAGAATTATAATAATTATTTTCTTATATGATCCAGGCCGTGCTGTAGATTTCCTTGCTGTGGGAAACTTGAGCTCTGGTTACTATCGGATAATCCAGAAGCGTACATGCCCAGTAGTCACCTTTGAAGATTATGACATCCATGGGCGGGGCAATGCACATCCATGCATGAGTCCTTGCATTGCCGGAGGAGCACACATGCCACATGAGTAGCTACTTACACCGGCAGGTACCATGTGCATGCAAGTGCTAGTGGTGTAGTTGGTACATGCTACACATTATAGAGGTTATGCGAATGATGTCATAGAGTGTCTAAGGTTGCGTTTGGTTGGGCATTTTCAGAATGTAAATGACAACCCTTCTGGAATGGGAATTGGCAAGAATCACCTGACCAAATAAACACGCCAGAACCAATTAGGAATCACTTGACATGACTTTTCCATGTCGTTGTGGAACGGCGGCTCTCCTTTCTTTTGCCTGATTAGTTTCCTTGAGAGAGCCATGGTACTTCTGGGTGCATGATTTGAGGCACTTGAACCTGTTGCTACATTGTTTGGCTCGTGGCAACCATTATCATTTTTGATTCCGGAAAGAGAATGCTCATTCCAGCATGTGAGGTGGAATAATCATTCTCCGAAAAGAATCGTTCTCGGCGATTCCCATTCTGTAATGGGACCAACCTAACGGATTTTTTTGACCAAACAAACGGGCAAGAATGATTCCCAGTGGTTCCCATTGTGGAATGTGACCAACCAAACGCAACCTAAGAGTGAGTTAGCAGATTCACTAATGGGCGCTAAGTTAGTGTATGCAGTGCAAGTGCAGTGCAGTGCCGCAAATCCGTGACTTCACCCAAGCATCTCAGCTGACGACTCGATGTAATCGCGTAAATGACCATCGGAGAAATTTTAGAGCACACTTGTCGAGCACATCTCACACGCACATACAACTCAAGTTTGATTTTATTGTTAGACAACAGACCAATGTACTCCCCACCGAGCCTCCATGCAAGGGGAAAAATTAGATGCAGAATTTCACTGAAAAGTTACCATGGCTACAGTGCTTTAGATCATGGTGATGATGGTCATGATTGATACGCATGCAAGTAGTTAGAACAATGCAAATCCCCTTCAGAGCAGACTCTCCTGTTTTGTTTTTTACCGTTGGTCAAACACGAGTCAAGGGCATAGCACTGATAATATTTTTTCTGCCTGTGCACGAGGCCAGGTGATAATGCGATTAAAACATGTAGGCCTAAGAGACCTGGACAGCACTGAGCGATACAATCTCTGCCAATGTGACACAGAACATGCACTGGCAGCCATGAGTTCAAGAGGATTTGTGCAAAACAGCGAATGGTCAACTCCATGTTTAGGGTACCAGGCTAGCTCTCAGGTGACACACACCCCAGAGTATTTTACTGCAGTAACTAGACAGGCAACTGTTATGGATAGCATTGAGTTGCAACGATTATATCCTGACAAGAAGAACTAACTATAAGAGATTTTAGGGGAAGAGTGTGTTGAAGAGATTTTACACATAATAATATAGCAATTATCAAGTCTCTCGATTCCAACACCAAAAAGGAAGGTGTTACTCCTTAGATCATTGTACATGATAGATATACTGTGTAGATACATCATCGCCTGACATGCTACACATGTGTGCTGTGCAGCATAGCATTCGAGCTGTTTCAATAGTGTAATGCCATGATACCAACGTTCAAGGGAAAGTGAAGAACTGTGCTCACACAATTGACGACAGTACTTCGGCTCGGATACTACTTGCCAGGTGTGGTGTACAGGACATATCGTGGACCGTTGTACACAGTGCCATGCCCTGTGATGTACAGGACATAATAGCGATATAGTGGACCGTAGTACTTGCCCTGTGGTGTACAGGACGTGTAGTGGACTAGTTAAAACAGAGGAAGTGATTGCTAAGGTGTGGCGCTTCTGCAAGCAGTTCAACGGGTAACGCGGTCTGTGCAGCTCAGTGTTTGCTATACTACCATAGCTAGCTAGTATCATGGCTCTCTTCGGGCACATCACACGATTGTGGTGATCTTGCTGAGGTCAAGCCAGAGATCGTTTCCTGCTCCTCGAGTCTTGTGCGGACGCGCTCTTGATCCACGTACCCAGTTTAGCAACATTCTCATGAAGCTCCGCATTGCCACCCTCAGCAACACACAATGACGAAGCCACATCGTAGTGCTCATTAACCTGCAGAACGCAAACCAACGCATGCACATACCAAGGCATACACGTACCAAGGCATCAATGGAACGCACAACGCACAACACACACACACACACACACACACACACACACACACACACACACACACACACACACACACTTATCAGCACAGGTAAGATGATGCCATTGTGTAACATCTCTCTATTTGAAACACCGCAATGCACAGAAGATAAACAGCGACTCTGATTAGAGTTTGTTTTTATAAAAGAATAAATGGCACACAGATCAGCAAAGTCTGCAAGTCTGCATGTAGTGGCTTTTCAGCTCATGAATGAGCTTCTTGGCATAATGCTGAATTAGGAACCAAGGGACAATGTTAGGGATTCTGTTCTTTGATCTCAATGCACAATCATGATTGCATGGCTGACAAGCACACACATACTTCGAAGTAATTCATGCTGCAGTGTACTTCACATTACCCTGTCAGTTTTGCCGACAATGCTGCAGAGTATGGACAAGATCCAGTGGCACTGACATTCCTGCTCCTTGCTGAATGCTATCCGTCCTGCGCTCAGTGTCTGAATGATGTCCGTGAACATGAAGACGGCTTCGGCCCGCGATGCTTCATCTGTGGATGTGTGTGTATGGAGTGTGTCAGATAGGTTTGATGTGTGGAGTGAGGTGGAGTGAGAGAGAATGAGAACAAGTACCATGACACAGTGCAGATGTAGGTCAGCTCATCTAAACACAAACACACATTTTCGTTTCATGTAAAAGACTGATAATAATTAGGGACCGTGACACCTAAGTGCCTGCTCCAATTAGGGACCGTGACACCTAAGTGCCTGCTCCTGTATGGCAATCCCACTCATGTATATCATGCAGGACCGGCGAAAGCAGTTTCTGATTGGTTCGGCCATATCATAGTCTTTCACACGTTGCATAATTATGATATGGCGGGCACACATGACCTCCTCGGCAGTAAGCACACCGTTTTGGTAGCCAAACAGTTGGTCCGGCTATAGCCTGAAGAGCTCTGGTGAATATGCATCACGAATCCATGTTACACTCGTTATTATGCCATTATTGTGTACATGTACGTCATGCTGACGTCTTGCTGCACGCATCGCGTGAGCAGTTTTCCAGCTCTCAGTCCAGAGCATTCGCAGCGAGCCAGTGGCTCCTTTTTTTGCTAACTATTTCCTTGTGCTCTCACTTGTCTCAACTAATGGTTTTTTGATGACATTGATTTCAAGTCACCATTCAAGTTAACAAGTACAATGTCGTTCCGAGAACCGGAACACCTCCAAATTTGAGTGAGCAATATTTATTTGTGGGTGGCTACAAGCTCTCCCACTCCACAGTCCAAAGTTGCGCACAACAGCCGTACTGATTCCGCCGTCCCAAATATGAGCACTGGAATCGACTAGATCTTGCTAGGCAGGCCATACCATTGCGCAGTCGCACACCGCTTCGTACAGCATCTCACTCACCTATCTCCTTCTCAAACTTGGCAAAGGGCGACACTTGCTTTACGTCTTTATCAATGTCTTCGAGTAGAATAGAACTGCCAGCTTCAAGCACTGGTGCCTCCTCATCTTCCGAATCCTCTGTTGCAGCTACCACCGTGAGGAATTTATACCAGATTGATAGAACCTGTGAACAATAAGAGACAAACACAAAGACACAAAGAGAAGTGCTGGTTTAAAAGTCTTGACTTGAAACATGTAACTGACTGTACTGTCTTGCGCCGAATAAACGGGTGGGGGTTCAAAGTTGTCACCTATGCCATTCTTGTTTTTATTGTCCGTTCATTTCCGCCCGGCAGTAATGTATTTTGAAAGGAGGTTAGGGAGAGGGGGGGGGGGGGAGAGAAAAAGGGAGGGAGGGAGAGGGGGGGGGGGGGAGACAGAGAAATTACTTTGAAGTACAGTGGAACTCTCACCCAGGTAAGACGTACACCTGGTTAGTACGGTCCGTTTTTCGTAGCACGGATTATCCTCCCATAAGCGCACGTACAAACGTGAATGCATAATAACGTACTCCGATAAGACATACAGCTTGTGTATGACGCACTTTTCAGCGGGTCCCAACAGAGCTAGCCTTGCATACTACTGTGACGCATTTTCGGTGTTTACATACGCCTTTGCACATGACTGGTTCGCTTGACAGGTACTTTGGTATGTTGACAGGGCAGAGGAGGCTGTTTGCAGCGCTGGAAGCCTGGTTTGGTGGCACTGAACACATCCATTTCTGAGTGCAATGAATAATTTCGAGCATTTTGACATACTGCACATGTGATGTATTAGTGGGGTCGCAGGAGTCAAAATTAGATAAGAAGTAACTCGCATACTACATACTTTTCCCACTCCCCGAGGGGGTACGTCCCGAGGGGGTACGTCCCGAGGGGGTACGTCCCGAGGGGTACGTCCCGAGGGGGTATGTCTTATTCGAGTTCAACTGTACTTCTATAGGAAAGTGTTGAAACATCAGCCTTTACTGCATGAAGAATGATGAATTTCTTGCATAATAGTACAGGACAACTTTGTGTGTGTACCTCTGTGTAGAGAGGCCTGGCAGCTGGCATGTTGTTGATGGCGTAGAACGACCTAGCCATGTTGAAATAGCCCCCCGAGGTCTTCACGTGTTCCGGGCCGTGTGCAAGTGAAGAGTGGTATACCTGCAACAGTACAATAAGGTATGTACACCACGCAAATATCAGATGCAGACATTCAACACACATAACACACATAACACACATAACACACATAACACACATAACACACATAACACACATAACACACATAACACACATAACACACATAACACACATAACACACATAACACACATAACACACATAACACACATAACACACATAACACACATAACATACATACTGACATAGAGAACAAGAGAGGAATACTGTAAACTGCCTAATATTCGCTATTTTCGCGAGAAGAGCGTAACGTGGATATTAACCAGCGTGAAATCAAACTTCAACAGTGGGTGTATGTAGGTGGCCCCGGTGCTTCGCGAACTCTTGCCATCGCAAACTTGCTGGTTCTAAGAAATCGCGAAAATTTAGTGACGCGAATATCGGGCGGTTTACAGTACACTTTCAAGCAAACAAGTCCAGAAAGGGTGAAACAAAGCTGTTCATACATTCAGTAGAAAACATTTATGTCAAAAAGTGACCAAAACACCGCCCCATTTACCAGTAGACCTTTTCTCTACATACACTAATATTAAAACCCCAGAAAATGCATGGTCGGCCAGCAGATTTGGAGCAGTTCATTTTAAGACTTACATCTTCCGCTAGGTGAGCCATGGCCTGTCCATGGCTACCACGCGCAATGTGCAGGCGACCTAGAACACGGTTGATCTGCGATAACAGCCCGGATGGGCAAGACTCTCCAGCTTGTAGCGCACTCCACTTGGCCTGCGATAAATACTGCTCAGCCTTGTCCAGCTGGAATGCACCTACAGTCGTGGGAGTGATGTCATTAGTGAGTGAGACAGGGAAAGATGGAGAGAGAGAGAGAGAGAGAGAGAGAGAGACAGAGAGAGAGATAGAGAGATGGAGAGAGAGAGAGACAGAGAGAGAGAGAGAGAGAGAGAGAGAGAGACAGACGGAGAGAGGGAGAGAAAGAGAGAGAGATAGAGAGATAGAGAGAGATGGAGAGAGACAGAGACAGACAGAGAGAGAGAGACAGAGACAGAGAGAGACAGAGAGAGGGAGAGAGAGAGAGAACAGGATAGAGGGAGAGAGAGAGGACAGCTAGGATAGAGGGAGAGAGGGGGGGGGGGTGGAGAGTTCAAAACAGCAGGACATACATGTACATGTAAGCAGGGAACAATAGGAAGGTGAATCTCAACGAGAAAACATTCTTGGAATACTTACCCACAAAATGTATCTTGATGTGTGTATAGAATATGAGTGTGCAGTTTATCTTTTTTATTGCTATAAAAATGATTCTCTGCAGAAGTCCGGTGACTGCAAGACACTTGCACATCATACAGGTTTAACATTACAGAGGTACACTTCCTTTCGGACCTGTTCAAAGACTCTAACGCAACCCGCATTTATACATAACTCGTAAATCCGGGTGAATTGCACAGTCAGTTATTTGCAGAGGAAAGACCCATTGGGCGATGGATAGAGGGAGGGAGAGAGATTGAGAGAGAGAGAGAGACAGACAGGGGGGGGGGGATTTGATTCTGTCACAACTTTGTGAAGCCAAGGGGTATATAGCCAATGGGAGTATTATAACAGGGTACATATAGGGACAGCATGGGTGATACGTATCACAAGACAAGCGTATAACACGTAAATGCATGAACAAGGTGTGCATGGCAGTGCGAGAGTTTTTCTTTCTTTCTGAAGACACAACCAATTGGTAAGAAGAGGGTAGAGAAGTAGCGGGGCAACACAACATTGCGAAGAATAGTGGCTTCAAGAAGGAACCTGTGCTGGTGAGGCAAGCCAACAACGCCAACCTGTAGTCTCGGCGTTACCGTGTTAGTTTTAGCTCAATGCTAGTGGGATATGTCTCAGAGACAATGCCTAGAGAGCAGTTTAATTTCTCACCTATGCATGCCTCAGCCAGCACGACCAGTGCAGGAATGAGCTCCATGCGGCCACTACCGTACATTTCCGTTGAGCTGCGTAATGACAGCTGTGCTGCCGGCAATGCCCGCTTGTACTGGCCATCATAGAGCAAGCGCTGCGCCTCAGTGGAGGTCAGCGACACCAGCTGTTTCTGCGTGGCATGGAAACAAAGAAGACGGTTCAGTTACACACATGCACATACATACACATAGATACAGAGACACAGACAGACATACCCACATGCACATAGACACACATAGACACACAGACATACACACATAGACACACACACATACACACACAGACTTAACACACATGCACATACATACACCATTGGACCATTGGACGCCCATCGCCAGAGGCAATGAAAACGATGCTACAGCAGAAGCCATAGCAACTTGTGCTGGGATTGCACCATTCATCAGCTTGCAAGGCTGAAGAATTGGCCGCCACTATTCAGCCTGGTCTACACCATACAGCTACATGTATGAAGTGGCTTTTTCTGCTCAGTGAATCCCTACTTTTTGGTCTTTTTTGTTTATTTTGCCGACACACACACACACACACACACACACACACACACACACACACACACACACACACACACACACACACACACACACACACACACACACACACACACACACACACACACACACACACCTTGGACCTTGGACGCCCATCGCGTAGCGATGATGGCTCAGACGCGGCAGTGGGGGGCGTGCCTCCTCAGGTCCCCAATGCGGCCAAAGGGACGGCCACATGCGCAACGGAACTCTTTCGGTCCGGGTGGAGGAGGCTGCCGACGACACAACCGCTTCCAGGTTGGGCGATCCTGGGCTTGATGGAACCATTCTCCCTCTCCGATCTGTGCCGCAGCTAGATCAGTGACAACAACGTCACGCCATCGCTTCTTCGGACCGTGGCGGGGGCGAGTGGCATATAACTCGCCAAATACCATCTGCTGCGGAGTGCGGTGTTCCTCCATACGGGCAATGTGCCCCAGCCAGCGCAGACGATGCTGTCGGAGCAAATCGGAGATGTCAAGAGACATGCCAAATCGCCTGCCCAATTCTGCCGATGTGAGCCTGTCCTCCCACTGCTGGATCCGCGATACACCGAGGATAGACCGAATACAGGAGCGATGGAAGACGGTCAGCCGATGGACGTGGGTAGCCTTCACAGCCCATGTCTCTGCACCGTAGAACAGAGTGCTCAGGACAAAAGCGCGATATACCGTGCACTTAATGTCGATGGATAAACCCCGGCACCGGAAAATCGGGGTCAGGAGGCAACCAAACACACGAGATGCCTTGGCCAAGCGGGAGGTGATCTCCACGTCCAGTGACCCATCGCAACTCACCACACTACCGAGGTAAGTAAAGCCGGAGACCATCTCCACAACTCCACCATCATCGAGGACGACATCAGGTTGTAGGTCCCCCGGGCCGACTGCTATGGCCTTTGTCTTGGCGATGCTGACAGTGAGACCCCACTGAGAGGCACAGGCGATGAACTCGTTTGCCAGGGTCTCCAGATGTTCTCTTGATGTGGTGTATACAGCGGCATCATCAGCGAACTGGGACTCGGTAACTTGGTACGTGTTCAGTCGCGCCTTGGTTGTTCGATCCCCAACAAGCTTCCGGCCAGGGCGTGAGCGCAGGGACACGCCGGGAACAGAAGAGCGGGAACGCCAAGACGACATTACGGCAGCAAAATACAGATTGAATAGGGTGGGGGCAAGAGTACAGCCTTGGCGAAGACCATTGTTAACATATATGTCCTCCGTCAAGCGACCAGATATACGAACCCGAGCCCTCATGCCGACATGTAGGGACCGAATCAAGCTGAGAAGGGTAGGTGGAATACCGAGCTTCCCGAGGACAAGCCACAACGCCTCACGAGGTATGCTGTCATAAGCCTTCTTCAGGTCGACAAATATGACATACAGTGGCGTATCATGTTCGATGGCCTTCTCGATTAGCTGGCGCGCCACAAACACCATGTCGACGCACCCACGTCCCTTCCTAAAACCGCACTGTGACTCAGGCAGCACATCCTCGGACAGTTCCTGAAGGCGATCCTGGATAACCCGTGCAAACAGCTTACCGACTACATCCAACAGGCTGATGCCTCGCCAATTGTCACATGACCGTAGGTCGCCTTTCTTCGGTATGGGTACAATCTCAGCGTCGCGCCACTCAGAAACAACGGAGCCACCTGCCCAAATCTGGGAAATCAGAGAATGAATACGCCGGTGGAGAGCAAGACCGCCACCCAGCACCAATTCCGGCACAATACCTGACGAGCCACCAGCCGTGCCCCTACTCATCCTCCGCATCGCAGCCATCACCTCCCCAAATGTCAGGGCCATGTCAAGTTCATGACGCGGCTCAGCAGTAGGCATGTTATCAATGACATGCATACTAAACTGACTAGCAATGTTGAGCACTCTGTCGAAGTGTGCATGCCAACGCGTAACAAGACTTTCCGGGCTGTCAGTAAGGTGTCCGTCTCCATCATAAACCGCCGAGGGTGTGACCGTACGCCTGCCATCATCCACTCGCTGCAATTTTCGGATGCATTTCCACCTCACACAGCCATCCCCTTGAGCACGCTCAGCATCACCAACCACCTCACGGATCCATTGTTCCTTTGCACCACGCACCGCCCTCGCAACCGACCGCTGGGCTGATCTAAATCCGGAACGTGTCGTTTGATTGCCTGCCGACAACATTCGTTCATGGGCACGTCGCTTCGCCTCAATAAGTGGCTCCAATGCTGCCCTATTCTCCAGAAACCAGTCTGGTTGCCGCCGCCGACCATGGCCCAGTGTTCTCTCCGCTACGCTGGTGATGTCATCACGAAGGGAATTCCAGGTCTCTTCAACACTCTGGCCACCACCGACCGCGCCACCACAGGCTGCCTCCATTGACTCTCGGTACTGCAGTAACGTATCAGGCTCACGCAGGCGATGGGTGGCATACGACCTCCGCTTAGGGACAGTGGATCTACGTTGGACGAAGTCCAGGACAAGCTTGGCCCGAACCATGTAGTGGTCAGTCCAGCACAGTGCGCCGCGGACAACACCAACGTCCTTACAGTAGCAGCAATGAGCTGTACGCATGATGACATAATCAATGAGATGCACTTGGCGAGTGGCTGGATGAGTCCATGTTCCACGCTTACTTCGTCCCTTCTTGTACCATGTATTCATTACTGACAATTGATTAGCTGCACAGAATGACAACAGCTCCTCACCAGCCCGATTGCAATTTCCAAGGCCAAATTGGCCCAAGACACAACCCCACATCCGCTCATCCCCTGGCATGCCATCGATACGACTCACAGCGCTGTCTGCATAGTCAGTGCTGGACCCGACGCGCGCGTTCAAATCCCCAAGGAGCACAAGAACATCTCTGGATGGGATACTGTCCACAACTCGTTGCAAGTCATCGAAAAACTTGCGTCTTACGTTCGGTGGGGCTTTACTCGTTGGAGCATAAACATTGACGATAGAGACACAGAAATCTGCGTGTCGCTTACCTCCACCAGGGAGTTTATCACCTCGCTTGGCGACAAGAAGACGAGCAGTGACAATACGCGAACTGACGGCGCTCCACTGCTCCCCTCCGCTCTTCCACATCCCGGTCACGGCGGAATTCATCAAAATTCCAACTCCCTCGTTCCGGCGGCCGGGCTCACTCCCCAAAGGCAAAGGCCTCCCAGAGTGTAACAACGTACCGCTCCCAGCAGGCCAGACGTCGCTTCCAAACCATTTCGTCTCCTGAATACCAGCAACGTCCACGCCGAACCTGCCGAGTTCCTCCACAAGAAAATCCAGTTTCCTGTCAACGGCGGTATCCGAGACATTTTTATTTTTACGGCATATTTTGGCATCACCAGCGTCCTCCACCAAGGACCGAACGTTCCATGTCGCAGTGACCAGTGTCCCCTTCGCCTTCGTCTTCCCCGTCCTCCTCGTTGTGACCATAATTCATTCAAATTCAAAAAACTACAAATTCCCCAAACCACTTCGTCTGACTAGTGCAATGCGTACAACAAACCTCCCGACAGCTCGCAAGGCTGTCAGGACGGGCCACAGCAGCCAAGGCCTGGTCTCCACCATACGGCACTTGGCTGCCAAGTGTGGCTAATCCATCATTGAGACAGAGCTCAAAAAGAGCAAACTGCCTCCTCCAACAACAAGTTGCAACACACACACACACACACACACACACACACACACACACACACACACACACACACACACACACACACACACACACACACACACACACACACACACACACACACACACACACACACACACACACACACACACACACACACACACACACACACACACACACACACACACACACACACACACACACACACACACACACACACACACACACACACACACACACACACACACACACACACACACACACACACACACACACACACACACACACACACACACACACACACACACACACACACACACACACACACACACACACACACACACACACACACACACACACACACACACACACACACACACACACACACACACACACACACACACACACACACACACACACACACACACACACACACACACACACACACACACACACACACACACACACACACTCATACTCCTGCCCATCGCTGAAGCGACGATAGCAAACAAGCTATGTTATACATAGAAACGTGTGACCAGATCACACAATTCAACAGCTTGCAAGGCTGATGAATTGACCGCCACTAATTTTAGCCTGGTCTACACCACACAGCTGGTTGAAGTGACTTTTTCTGGCCAATGAATCCCTATTTTTCATTTTCACACACACACAGAGGCACATCCACACACATTGACACAAACATTTTTATGTAAGCTCCGCACGCATCCAAACACTGCACAGCATCCGCTGTAGCCTAGACTTGAGCAGGCACATTGCAAGGGAAAGCAGTCTACTACTAGGAATGTATGGGAGACTCTGAACAAGACACCACAGACTTACATGTACCTGACCAAGTGTTCTTACCTGCTTTTTGGCCTTCTTGCTTTCATACTGGTAGCGCTGCTCCTCAGAGTTCAGGAACGGTTTGGGTGCTCTAATTGCAGCCAGTAGGGCGCACACTTTGGAGTGAATACCGTCCCAATCCTCAGCTTGATGATCACGTCCACTGTAGTGGCAAGCAACATCACAATCATCAGCCAAAATATCACCAGTAGTAGCCGGGGTAGAGTAATAACAGCACACACAGTGGCTGCGTTCGATTATGCACTTGAATCGATTCATGAATCCATTCGCACGCATTCAAGTCATTCGATTTTCACGTCATGAGCACTGGAATCGATTCGGAATCCATTCACCTTTTTTCTTTTCTTTTTTACTAGCAAACACAGCCCTACTAATAATCAGGGGAAAAGGACAACTGAAAAGACATTCACATGGGGTGATGTGAATAGCGCGAATCGATTCGCGTGCATAATCGAACGCACTCACTGGCACACACTAACCAATCAGCACAGCATCTGTGCATGCGGAGAACTCGATTAAAGGCACCCGTGCATCAGTTCTCAGTTCTCTCTGCTGTACTGTCGGCCCACAGAGGCAGGACCATTGCTGTCAGAATCGGCCCCTGCCCATAACCCAGGCAGGGCCGGTCCAGTGTTACAGCGGGGTCAAATACAAGTTTCTAGTATCATTATTATTTTCTTTTGTCATTGGTTTAGAAATTTATCTAGCATAGATTTCACTGGATTTCAACCTTCCCCTGTCCCCTGAATCTGTACAGCTAGCCCCTACTACTTGCTACTATCAAGTGAACGTCATATACGAGTGTTTCAACTAACTAATTCTCGCAGACAGATGCGTTACCCCATATGTTTCGTTTGGGGTGCATGCAAACTGTGTTGACTAATATCATTGTTTTTTGTTTTGTTTTTTTATACGAGAAACCACGAACCTCGAGAACAGAATACTGCATGGTAGAGGTGGTTGCAGACGCAACTGTGGTGGTGAAAACTGGAGCATCTCCGCCGACCTGAGGTCTCGGCTTCAGCGACACTTCAGAGCACCAAAAACTGGGGAGGAGTAGGCACAGGGGGAGGGGAGGGGGGTACATTTATATAGAGGAAGGAAAAACGGAAAGATGATACATGTGATAGAGGAAGAAAAAAAAATAAAAAAAATAAAAAATAAATATTAACTGGTTTTGAGGGAAAGAGACAAACGGGAAAAGTCTGAAGAAAAAATTGACTGTCACCACCAGGACTCGAACCAGGGACCCTCGCTTGTAGCCAGCGATGCTCTAACCACTGAGCTATGGTGTAGTCGTCATCCAAGCAGAGACCGTTCAACGTTTTCTTCAGACTTCGTAACTCACACTTCCTGTGAATCCACACAGGCGGGTGGGACGCAGCCCTCACTGTACCCACACACTTCACGTACAAACTAGCACGCGGGGAGCCCCAAGTCATAAAATATTAACTGGTTTTGAGGGAAAGAGACAAACGGGAAAAGTCTGAAGAAAAAATTGACTGTCACCACCAGGACTCGAACCAGGGACCCTCGCTTGTAGCCAGCGATGCTCTAACCACTGAGCTATGGTGTAGTCGTCATCCAAGCAGAGACCGTTCAACGTTTTCTTCAGACTTCGTTACTCACACTTCCTGTGAATCCACACAGGCGGGTGGGACGCAGCCCTCACTGTACCCACACACTTCACGTACAAACTAGCACGCGGGGAGCCCCAAGTCATAAAATATTAACTGGTTTTGAGGGAAAGAGACAAACGGGAAAAGTCTGAAGAAAAAATTGACTGTCACCACCAGGACTCGAACCAGGGACCCTCGCTTGTAGCCAGCGATGCTCTAACCACTGAGCTATGGTGTAGTCGTCATCCAAGCAGAGGCCGTTCAACGTTTTCTTCAGACTTCGTAACTCACACTTCCTGTGAATCCACACAGGCGGGTGGGACGCAGCCCTCACTGTACCCACACACTTCACGTACAAACTAGCACGCGGGGAGCCCCAAGTCATAAAATATTAACTGGTTTTGAGGGAAAGAGACAAACGGGAAAAGTCTGAAGAAAAAATTGACTGTCACCACCAGGACTCGAACCAGGGACCCTCGCTTGTAGCCAGCGATGCTCTAACCACTGAGCTATGGTGTAGTCGTCATCCAAGCAGAGACCGTTCAACGTTTTCTTCAGACTTCGTAACTCACACTTCCTGTGAATAAATAAATAAAAAATAAATTTTAATATGGCAATAAGTAGGACGAGCTGAAGCGACATGTGGACTACTTTATTAACAATGTAAGCGATGGAGACGATGCAAGAAACAACCTAAAGCCGGGTAAGGAAAAATACATGTAAGAAGAAAAAGGGCAATGGAAAAAAGACGCAGGACGATGCAAGTGAGGAGGAGAGTCAAACCGCGGTGGATGACGGAGCAGGTTCTGATTCGGACAGTGAGGGAGAAGGTGAGCTGAGTGAGGGTGAGAGTGAGTGTGAGGGTGTGCGCGTGAGTCGAGATTGTGTGCGTCCGTCTCGTAATAACAAGTCTTCAGTATACAATCATTTGGTTTCTAGTACTGACTGTTGTCGTACTTATTCTGATTCCTGTTTTTCTGTTTTGTGCCGTGCTCGTCATGGTTATCTTTTGCAGTTAAATACAAGTTTTGGAAGCTGTTTGTCAGCGCATTCATAAGCCGAATTTGTGTGTCCAGAAAGATAGTGTTATTACCCTAAAATTGTTCAAATTATGTGTTCTGTTGTGTAGTGTGGCAACGTTGTTGCCACTTGTGCCTAAATGTGTTTTGTCACCTTCTTGTTTATTATTGTTATTATTATCATTCGTTCTCACTTTTTTGTTTTTGTTGCTGATACACACTTGTCACGCTTAGTTCTTACTTGTATACCCTTGTTTTCTGCACACTTTTGTGAGAAATCGCACCTCGATATTCCAGTGCTGTCATTGTATCGTGTCACCCTACCTTGATTGCTATATTATTTCCTTTGTTCTCATTTTGTTCTTTAGTACAACGGTGATTCCTGAAGAGTGTTGTACGAAAACTTGTTCGAATTATCTTCTTTTTTTTTCCATTGCCCTTTTTCTTCTTACATGTATTTTTCCTTACCCTTTAGGTTGTTTCTTGCATCGTCTCCATCGCTTACATTGTTAATAAAGTAGTCCACATGTCGCTTCAGCTCGTCCTACTTATTGCCATATTAAAATTATTGTCTCCTCGTCGAATTTTTAAAAAATAAATAAAATAATAAAAAATAAAAAAAATAAAAAAGGGGGGAGCCAGGGTGCAAGCAGAGAGGGTGTTCAGGGAGTGTTCAGAGGGCATCTGTGGCTGAACGCCAGTCTCGGCTGCGGAGCGACTTGTAGGCGCCTTCCTTGAATGCCTGCATTCCCTTCTGCGTGGGAAGGTTGCGTAGCAGGGCAGATGGGAGACGATTGTTATTAGCTTCGCACCACAGACAGGCGGATTATCTGTTAGAATGGTGCGCACCATTCTAATCACTACCCCGGTGTGTAGATAGAAGTGAGCGTAAGGTCGTTGACATGTACATGTACCTTATCTTAGGCCGCTATACTGATTACTACTGTTCGATGCCAAAGAACTGGGGGGGGGGGGCAGCCTCGCAACGTAGGCCGCTTTATGTACGACAGCCCGTGCGCAGCGGAGTTACCGCGCATAAATCGATAAGCTGTGCTTAGTAAAATTCTCACCTGTTCATTCTTGGGCGTCCGACAGTACTGTAGCTCAAGAAATTTGTAATCATGTTCATTATGCTAGGACGGTTCTGTTCAATCATGTCCATTATACTAGGACAGTTCTGTTCGCCTGTGATGCTCTTGACCATATTGACTGCTACTGACTGCAATCGTAGTTTGAAATAAGGATCGTCATCGGGTAATTTGGCTCACCTGCAGGGCGTAGCTCGCACATCTGTGCTGTGGTGACTAAGTGCTAGAACACATCTGTGCTGTGGTGAACATGTACCACTGGCAACCACATAGCTGCAAGAGGCTCATTTCTGCGACTATGCAGTATGTATGATGGCCATTCGCTGGTGCGGTGACGGACTACGCTGAATACACACGAGCTACGCGCCTGCGCCTGTCTTTGTGGCCAACTCAGCCTAAAAGCACTTTCCTCTTTCATAGATTAAAAGAAGTAGAGTGTAGTAGTGTGGCTATGTGACAGCCTGTACATGCACACAGGTACGTAGACACGCATGCCACTGTCTAATACTACTTGGTCATTGTACATAATATTGTGTGCTGGCTTACCAGTAATACGTCACTCTGCAGTGCGTGCACTGGGAGAAGGCCGACTTCTGGCATATCTCGCACTGAAGCTTCGTACCGCGCGGGTTCGCTAGCGGATTCAGACTCAGACTCATGGCTGACTTGCTCCTGTCTCGATGCTATTCGCGAATGTGTGCTATCCACACCAATCCTATCACGGCAGTATCGACCGAGCTAGGTGCATACAGTGCATGTATGTCGTATTACCATCAGCAATCGCCAGAAACACGGAGAAACTCTCTTGCAGTCGTCAAGGCCATTGCAACAAAATTGTACTTCATGAATTCACTTTTCAAAGCTATGAAAAAGCTTGTACTTTGTAGATTTTCGAACTACACACCTGAACACTGCATGAACCATCGCATAAATCAAGGGATGGGAGTGAAGTAGAATGAAGACTGGATCTGAGCAGTCTGGAGTGGAGGGAAGTCAATCTGTGATGTGTGAAGCGAGTCTTGACGATCATGGTTACCATAGTGACTATTGTCAAGGGAGTCGCGACCTTGGCTCGAGCGCTTTGTAATGATAAGTAAACTGAATTAATAATAATAATAATTTGAAAGTAGGACGGAGGCAGAAAATATTACAAAAAAAAAGTATTGTCTACGCATGCATCTACGCAAGAGTCACCACCAGCCAATTAGGACATGTGTCAAAGTATTGAACGTTTTCGTTCCCTTCTTGTCAAAATACTACAGGGAATGATGGAAATAAGCTAAAAGACTACAACTATAAGGAAAAGAAGTTCAGAAATATATCACTCCAATTATGTGTAGAAGTGACACGAAAAAATAGATGTGAAGAATCAAGAAAACAGCATGCAAATCCAATAAGTGACAAAAACGCAGTGACAAGAAAAAGAGAGAAATATCAAGAGATCTATTTCGCACCTTCACGACGAACAGTGCCAAACAACTGCAAAGACAACACATTCTCCTTCTGAACACAAAGCTCAGGGTCTAACTTACGTATGTACAAAGCTTCCAACACGGCAAGATGTAACAAAGACCTACCACGCGACAAAACAGAGAATACATCATCGGAATACCACTCACGACAACTAGCACTGTCCGACAGGTGACACTTGATTGCCGAGGTACCGTTTCCCTGACCCGACGACTTGGCCGTCAACAAGAAGAAGAGACCGATACGGAAACCACCGAAACTGACATCTGGACAATCGAGCCCCGGACGAGTCACCAGAAGTCAATTGAGGAGACGAATTGATGACGAATCAAAAGAACCAATACTGGAAGTGACAACAACGGTTAATGTGAAGAAACGAGGTAGACCACGGAAGCAGGACAGACTGGACGTGGAGCAGCACACGGATCTCGACCGAGGCAATCGGAATTGCAGGGACGCAGGGCGTAATGGGAGAGATTCGCAAGCGGCAATATCGGAGGTGACAACGGCCAAGTCGTCGGGTCAGGGAAACGGTACCTCGGCAATCAAGTGTCACCTGTCGGTCAGTGCTAGCTGTCGTGAGTGGTATTCCGATGATGTATTCTCTGTTTTGTCGCGTGGTAGGTCTTTGTTACATCTTGCCGTGTTGGAAGCTTTGTACATACGTAAGTTAGACCCTGAGCTTTGTGTTCAGAAGGAGAATGTGTTGTCTTTGCAGTTGTTCGGCACTGTTCGTCGTGAAGGTGCGAAATAGATCTCTTGATATTTCTCTCTTTTTCTTGTCACTGCGTTTTTGTCACTTATTGGATTTGCATGCTGTTTTCTTGATTCTTCACATCTATTTTTTCGTGTCACTTCTACACATAATTGGAGTGATATATTTCTGAACTTCTTTTCCTTATAGTTGTAGTCTTTTAGCTTATTTCCATCATTCCCTGTAGTATTTTGACAAGAAGGGAACGAAAACGTTCAATACTTTGACACATGTCCTAATTGGCTGGTGGTGACTCTTGCGTAGATGCATGCGTAGACAATACTTTTTTTTGTAATAATAATAATAAATTATTACCGTATTTCCACAAATAGTAGGCCGGTCTACTATTTTTTCAACCTCGTCCTAACCCGGCCTTATAATCGAGGACGGTCTTGTATTCGAGGGCGGTCTTTTATTCTTTCAACCCAGTTTGACCCCCCGGTCTTCTATTTCTCGCCACACAGTTTTACCCCCGTTCTTCCATTTTCTTCTACACAGTTTGAGCACGGTCTTCTATTTTTTCCCACAGTTTGAGCACGGTCTTCTATTTTTAACACAAGAACAAAGACTCGTTTACACGACAACGATTGAAAAACGTTTTTGTCAAAAACGTTTTCGAATACGCTTCCACAGATTTTGATAAGAGCGTTTACACGACAACGCTGAAAAACGTTTCAAAAACGTTTCAAACGAAAAACGGCCTTCAAAGTGTTTTTCAATCGTTTTCGTTCCGTTTCGTTCTCGTGTAAACGGCAAAAACGTTTTTCTAGTACGAGCCCTGTACTCAAAACATGCCACCGCCAGCCTGCGCCAGGCCAACTTCTTGCACGTGACCATTGCGCGCCGAAAAACGTGTTGCAGTGTACACGATTATCGTTTTCGTGTAAACAGCAAAAACGTTTCGAAAACGATTGAAAAACGTTTTTCAATCGTTGTCGTGTAAATGAGGCCTCATTTAGTAGGCCCGGTTTTCTAATCGGAGACGGTCTTTTATTTTTTCAATCGCCCCCTGCCCCGGCCTTGTATACGAGGAAGGCGTTGTATACGAGGACGGCCTTTTATTTGCGGAAATACGGTATTATTACTTGCATGTACGCGTTGGAGTCAACCATGCAAGCATGATCCACAACTTCGCTTATGCTGAACATGATAAACAGGACTATGACAGGGGAAAGAGCCAGAACGATGATATAATCAGGGCATGCGCTAAGGATTAAAATGCAGCCGTTCAAGCTCTGCCCTAGGTGTTATACGTATGGTATGGTATGGTATGGTATTGATTTATTTGAATTCGGTATCTCAACAGTACATTGTACAACTTGGGAAGATCCGAATGACATAGATACATAAACATAAAAGTGGAGTAGGTGCTACAGCGGATCATTTTATCGCAGGTTGTGGGACTAAACTAATACCAGTATGCAAGTACACAAGAAATAAAAGCTGAATAAATACGACACGTCCCATTGTTTCCATCTTCCTTTCAAAATTTAATGTAAAATTTTGTTTTACAAACTGTACATCCTGCCTCTTTTCATGTACGCTGCTGTTAGCTGGTGTGGCTTGTCCTCGGTTCTCGCTGAGCATCTCGAAATCCACCATAGAAAACTTCTTCGTATCCTGTTTAGTCCCTGTTTAGTCCCTCTCTACTCTTCTGCTTCCCTGTATGTCCTTGCAAATGCTTGCCCACTGTCGACCCACCGTCAAAAATTAATTTGCAATTTTGCTCACAAATTTAAACTAGCTCTACATCCTCCTCATCTTAACGTGTATAACTGGTTCCGAATCACAGATGGCTCCCAGACAAGATGCTCTGTTGCCCTCCCCTTGGCTAAAACGTCCTCCCTTGTACGCTCTCCACTCTTTGTTGCTTACTCTGCTTGGCTTGCGCTGCCCGCTACTACGCGCAATGCCAGTGCCCTGGACGCATTTAAATCTGCTCACTAGATTCACCATCACCTGTCCCTCCCATGCTTCTCCGTCTTGACCATTACTTTTCTTCTTTTATTCACCATGGTTGGTTAACACCCACATCTCCCGTACTGGCTGATTTTCTTCTCATGCCATGAGGTGTTGTCTATAATAATAATAATAATAATAATAATAATAATAAATATGCTCTGACACAATGTCCTGCCAGTTGCAAAAATGGCCGGACATGTCCGGACATGCAAATTTTCACATCAAATCACAAAATGTTCAGTGTAGAATTAATATATAATCATCCTCGACATCTAGTCCCCCATGGGTGACACGGTCCCTCGTATCTGAAGTGAAGCGCAAGCGTGATCTTTTCAGCATCTACAAGAAATTCCCAACGCCGGTTAACCGGGAGGCTTACCGAGTTCAACGCAACTTCGTCAAGCACCTTTCTCGTACCTCACACCGCTCCTTTCTAAACTCTCTTTCTGCAACACTCTCCTCCCCCGATCGCCCATCACTCCACCAATTCATTCGCAACCAGTGCCGCGGGACCTCCCGCGCGCCAATCCAGTACCTGACGGACTCCAATGGCAACCGCCAGCACGATGTGAAGGCGATTGCAGACACACTGAACAAGCAGTTTGTTTCATGCGGCATTCCGGAAGATCCGAATTGGGTCATTCCATCGCTGTCCCCAGCCCCTGAACTTAGCGCACCACTCACACGCGTCGTTACCACGACTGCTACCGTCTGTAAGCACCTCAAACTCCTGAAGAATTGTAAGTCCCCTGGCGAAGATGGCATACCCAATGAGGTTCTCAAATGGCTTGCGCCATCTCTGTCCTATCCCTTGTGCCTGCTCTTTAACATGTCATATCGTACAGGAGTATTTCCGTCCGTCTGGAAATCTGCTGTTATTGTCCCGATCTATAAGAAAGGCCAACGCTCTCAGGCTGGCAACTACAGACCAATCTCTCTCCTTCCCGCTGTGTCCAAGGTCTGTGAACGTATTTTCTTTGAGTCTCTGTACTGCCACGTCACCCCAGCGCTTTCACCATCTCAATCCGGTTTCTGCCGTGGAGACTCCACAACTTTCCAACTAACACGTCTAGTACAAGACATCTACACCCAGCGGAACCTCAGGCGGCATGTTGGCATCGTGTTCTTTGACCTAGCCAAAGCTTTCGACACCGTCTGGCATCGTGGTCTGCTTGCAAAGCTAGAGTCCGTCTTCTTGGTACATGGTCCAGCCCTGCAATGGCTCTCATCCTATCTTTCCTGCCGCCACCAGACTGTCAGAGTATCTACCTCCCTATCAGACCCATTACTAGTCGTGTCTGGGGTACCCCAGGGGTCCATACTTGGGCCGCTCCTATTTCTACTGTACGTTAATGACTTGCCAGCCCTTGTACCAAATGTAAGTCTTTTTGCTGACGACACTGCTCTGATGTGCTCCGACAGCTCGGCAGACAACCTCACGGCCTCCATGCAGTCCGGGGTCAACGCTACAGTAACATGGATGGAAACCTGGAAACTGAAGCCTAACCTCGCCAAAACCGAGGCCATGTTCTTCTCTCCCTCGCCCCCCACTCAACTTCTGTATTTTCCTGGTCTAAATAGTACACCTATTAAAGTTGTTAACGAGCACAAGCACCTGGGCGTTATTCTCGACCGCCAACTCTCCTGGTCTCCACAAGTCCAGTCTGTGTGCAAGCGTGCGAGTGCGTCCTTAGGTATGCTACAACCCCACTGCCAACACTTGAATGATAACTGCAGAGAATTGTTCTTTAAGTCGTACATTTTGCCTATATTTGACTATTGCGATATAGCTTGGTGCGGGTTGTCTCAGACTTTACTCCACAGACTGGAGGTACATCAACGCTTGCTTCTGAAAATTCTGTTTCGAAAAGACCAAACATTTGCCTCCCTTTGTCTTTATAAACTTGCTTCCACGCACCCTCTTCTTGCCCGACATCAGCAGCATCTTTGTATCCTTGTGCAAAAAATCTTCCTAGCCCAAGTCCCGAAACATATTGCCAAGTACAACTGGTTTGTTACCACTAGACCAACACGCAATGCCTTATCACTGCCCCGAGCTAGTTCCTCTCTGTTTTTGAAATCCCCTTTCTTCTCAGCATACTCCCTTTGGTCTAACCTGCCTACTAGCATTAAGACATGCCAGGATATCAGGAAATTCACAGTCCAGCTTTCCACACTGTCTCATCCGAAGTGATCCCATGTATTATTAATGTGCCTCCCTTTCTTTTTCTCTCCCTATCTCCTTTCCCTCTCTGACAGCATCTTTCTTTTTTTCCCTTTTAGCTTGCCGTGGTTGGCTATCACCTGACCTCTCATGTTTATTGGCAGTCTTCGGACGGGCCAGGAGATGTTGAATAAATAAATAAATAAATAAATAAATACTATCGGAATGTTATCACGACGATGCATTTCAGAAGCAGCATGATCTTTGAAGGCTGACGTTTTCAGGTTCCTTGAGTCAACGACGAAGGAGTCAGAAAAATCCTTGCTGCTGCGAATTTTATCAACAAAACGGGAACACATCTTACACTTCAAATTTTCGACAACGCTACGATTTGAGGGACTGCGCTCATAGCTCAGCCAAACAGAAGTTGAAAGCTCCCTATCAAGTAATTATACTCGGCGACCCACTTGTCACAAGTGGTCGTCTTGACTCCTCTGGGCTTCTTTCCAAGCGGAGCACCCGCATCAGCGGTGCTTGGCTTTCTCTTGCCAGACGACATCACTAATGACTATGAGACAAAGGATTGAAGTGCCTTTTCTTACTTTGCAAAAAGTGCGCGGACACTTTGTCCGGATATGTACAAAAGGTCCGGAAACTGACCGTAAACGGTCGGAAATTGTCCGATGTCCGACCGTTATTTCGCGCCCTGATAATGATATAATTATCATATACAATGTAGCTCATGGGTATTGAAGATATGTCATTTATGAATATGTCTAATTATGTCATTGAATATTGCAGCCTGAGTGATAATAATAGTGCTATTTCCTGAGTCTGACTGTTTCAGGACCTGTCGGAATATCACGATGCACAGTTCTTCATACATAGATCTCGGCATGGGGGTCGGTCATGGGCAATGGCTCGAGCGTCTAAGTTCCCGAGCAATCCGGCATTGGCTTGGCGCAGATCTCCCACCAATGCCTGCGGCAGGGTCGTCCGCGGTCTACCCCTCCAGCATTTCTGTTGCTGATTGGCGAAGTACCCGAACATAGCCATAACAGCTGGAGTTTCATCTGCCATCCGCAGGATGTGGCCAAACAGCCTCCAGCGTGATCTCTTGACCATGACACTCAAGGGTTCAGCTTCGCATCTGGCATAGAGAGCATCATTCGGTATTATTTGTGGCCATTTCACACCGATGAGTGACCTTAGCTGACGGCGGTGGAAGGAATCCAGGCGAGACAGAACGGTCACACTGACCCCCCACGTACCCGAGTTGTACGTCAGTACTGGAATAATAAAAGTGTTGTACAGCCGCAGACGCAACTTCTCGCTGATGTGCTGATGCCTCTTCCAGAGGCTCCATAGGGATTGAAATGCTGCAGTCGCCAGCTGTTTTCGTCGCATAATATCCTCTTCGTCGCCCAGCAGCGAACCCAGCTTGCGCGTTGTCCTCCACTCTTCATCGATCCTGTCCGCACTTCTGAAGATGTCCGTATACTCAGTTTTGTCCCGGTTCATGATCAGGGACCACTGTGGTAGCACCGTGCTGGCAGTCGCCTCCACGTCCGCCAGCCAGGACTTTGAGGTGCTGACAAAGTCTGCATCATCCGCATATACAAGTTCGAGCGGCAGACCGTTGTCGCTGAGAGGTCTTGCTGGCACCTCTTGCCTTAGTTGTCGGAGCGCAGCCTCCAGGTAAATCGTGAAGAGAACGGGGGAAAGGCAATCCCCCTGTGGCGTCCCCTTCGTTGTAGCAAATGATTCCGACTGGCACCTCCCAAGCCGAACACGAAGTCTGGTGTTAGAGATCAAGACCCTGATCAAGCGAACGTCATCGTCACTCAGAAACGCCTCCAGAACAGTCAGCAAGGTGTCTCGCTTGATCGTGTCAAAACAAAAGCCTTCGACAGATCAGATGCATGCACGCATGCATATGCGTGCATGAAAAGAAAACGGTCAATGCGAAAGGCATGAATCCGGGAGTAGTAAAATACCGGTATTTTTCTACTCCCTGGCCTGAATAATAAAATAATTATAAATTAATTATGAACCTGTGACGTACACATGTGTGACCCTATCTTTGGAAATAAAAAAATTGTGGGAATTAAAATAAAAAATCGCTCGCTCGCACCGATTTTCACAGGCTCATGACCTGAGAATCAACTTTATTTTTTACCATGGCCTAAGGGGCCATCCGTAAATATCGATAGTTTTTTCAATCCGTGAATTTTACAAAGTAACCAGGACCCACCACCCACCCCCCTACTTTTTACGGAATAAAATATTGATGACACATGTACTGTACCTACATAAATGTAGGTGGAGTCCATGGAGTCCATGCAGGCATGCGCTCACCGACCGTGTCATTCATAACTACAGTAGAGTCATCTACGCCTCGATGACGGCGTAGTAGCCATCGTCGTCTTCACCAGGGCTGTCAAGCTCTTTGAAAAACTTATCTTTTTTGGCAGCTTTACCAAACAAAGTAGTCTGCCGTGCCATTTTCGTTAGGCAGCTGTACCAAACAAAGTAGTCTGCCGTGCCATTTTCGTTAGGCCACGCTCCACATGGGAACTGTTCCAACCATTGGCGATGTAGCAATTCTTCGATGTGGAGTTCAAAATAAGAGCTGGACTTGACCCTGATTAATCAGGTACATGTATTGTGATACTTCGAATAATTGTGCAATAATTATACTTGTGAATAATATCTGACAAACTTCCCTCTTTCTTTTGCTTCAAGAGTTTCGATCTCCGCTACATTTTTTGGAGACAACAATCTACGTGTACGTGTGGTTCGACGCACGCAGACCCACGCACACGCAGTACTGGGCGCCAGGTCCGCGTGTCATCGATATTTTATTTACTTTGAATTTCGGCTGCACCCACCACCCGGTACCCAGGTACGTAAATTTCACGGATTGTAAAAACTATCGACATTTACGGACGGCCCCTAACATCGTCGCTTTTCTTTTTCATGGCGCCGATAGATTGTAGTCGGTGAGTCGGTGACTTGACCTTTTGACCCCATGCCATGGCGCCAATTGCGCTAAGGTTGCGGAAAAGTTGCGAAATAGTTCGCGAAAATGAAGAAAGTTGCGAAAGTTGCGAAGGTTGCGATTTCTTCCTAAACAACGAAAAATTGCGAAAAAAGTGGCAAGCATCTTTGGGAAAGGGCTAGCCTCCGCCACTTATGACATTGTACCAATAATTATTATTTTTGTAGTCGCTTGATTGTCGCATCTCGACTCCGCTGTACTGCTGATGTCAGAACTGATGATTTACTTCATGCGTCATGACCATGGAGTGGGCCAGACAAACAGTGATACTACTTGTATCAGAATTCTTCGATTCTCAGGTTCTTTGCCCAGTAACAGTTCTGTGCTCTGCACCGAAGACAAAGGGATATCAATTAATTATTTTACCAGCACACAATCTAGTACAAGTAGTCATTGCCGAAACAGCAAACTGGCAACAGCCAACTGTTAGGTACAAATGGGCCTCTGCTGGACCACTTAGACGTTAGCCTGAGCTATCTAGCAGCGCGCTCTGGTGATAAAGGTTCATGACGATGTGATACAACTCCTACTGAGAGAGTTAGCTAATCATACGCGTAGGGTGCTCACGTTTGTGCCTACGGGAACTCACTGTCACTAGTACAACACGTAACTATGTTACTTCGTCGTAAGCCCTGTAAGGTGGATTTCACTTTTTTCAGTGCTTTCAAGCATGCACAAGTCAGTTGACTCTCTGCAAATCAACTGAAAAGACTAGTTTTCTCCACCGTTGAACACGTTGCGCCTGCTGCATGCCCGACATCGTCAGTTTAGTTCTTTCTGGTCCTAGGTAAGACTGGACTGAGTGTTCCTCTTGCTGCTGTTGAAGACGATGATTTTAGATGTGCGCAAGAATGACGGACGCAAGAGGCATCATTCACTGATATAACGATCTCCCTGAATGCAACTGAACGAACTGAAGATCTGCAAAGCAATGGAGCAAGAGTCAGTCGAGCATGTACCATGTGTACTGGACAGTGTACTTGTTGATGTGTGGGAAGCAGCAGTGCTACCTATGTTATCACTTGCCGACATCTTTCAGTTATGTGGCGTTACGAGACGCGTCCGGGAGCTTCTGCACACTGAAGACATTTTCAGGCGCCTATGCCAGGTGAGTAATGTGTGATGTTTCTTTTCGAAACTTGGTTTCAATTATATTGCTGGAAGGAGTTCGGAAAGACGTTTTTCTCCGAGACAATCCTTCCTTGTCTGCACAAGCTGCCGGTCTCCAACCTTGTACTGTTAGATTGGGATTTTCGGCTGACAGGCCTCTTTAAAACTGATTGCTTTCGGGAACTTACTTGCGACTACAGTAAAAGTTGGCAAAGCGACCACTCCGATAAGGTGACCACCTGTCCTAGAGGACCACTATAACGCGGGCTTACTAATAGTGACATGTAACTATTATTTAAACAATCGACGAGGAGACAATAGTCGTAAAATGGCAATAAATAAGATAAATTGTGCACTAATAACAGCAAAAAAAGAAGAAAGTTAAGTTCCATACGTTTTCTTGTGACTGTCATCAGTGGAACGCCGTCACATAAAAATGTTAAGAGGTTAAGTTTCACGTAAAAGTCTTACGTCCGTGAACTTTTACGTCAAAAAGTGAAAAAACTCACGTAACATTTGACGTGTTTTACGTGAGTTGACTGTCTCGCACGTAAGTTCATGACGTGAGTTTTTGGAAGCTGCGCTTGGTTACTCCGACCGAATTTGTGTGAGTTTCCGGAATTTTATCGAGTTGTATCGAGTTTGTTGGAAGATTTGATATTTGTGCGAACTAAACCCGAATCCTGCCAGGCAAAATTTCACGTCACGTTGCACGTGTAACTTAACCTCTAAAAATTACACGTAACGTGAGATTTGCACCGCGTTTTGAAAAAGGGCAAACAACGTGTAACTTAACCTCTCTAATAACTAAAACACACACGTAATACATGTACCTAATATGGTTTCAGGTCGAAATGCAGCAGCCAGCAAGTACAAAAAGCGAAGTTTGCACCTTTGCAATGTGTGAATATAGTGTATGTGAGAAAGGTAGTGGCAGATGAATGTGATACTGTGTGAATGAATGTAATGGTGCGTGTGTATTAATTGAAGAGTGTGAGTGATTATAACGTTTTCTTTCTGTTTACATAGCACAGGGTCACGAGAACGAATATACACAGCTTCCAACACCTGCAATTGCTTTTTTAAAAGATGATTTTTAAATGATTATGGACATAGTAATAGATGAGTGCAGACCAGGCAGGCACAGTGGGTTGGTCAAAGACCATGATTGAGATACGAGAGGTACCTAGTTCAAGTCCTGCCTGGGAGCGGTTTTTCCAGCCGTGCTGCTACCCACAGTCAACTGGGAACTTGTGGCCAGGCACAAGGGGTACATGGGTGCAGCTAATGGGGTCGCTTTCGGCACTTGTGCCAGTGGTTGTGAGACTTACCCACTCACCCCCACCGTTAGGCGCTGCATCTGCCGCTAGGGTTTATCGGGTGTTAGCGGCCGTCGTGAGTTCCCTTCGGGAACGGATACGATAATTTTTTTTAATTTTTTTTTAATAGATGAGTGCGGAAGGATGAAAAATCAAACTTGGGTCGGGCTTGGGTCGTGGATATAATAATTATGACAGAGAGAACACACGAAGAAAGGGAGAAAATGAGTGAGAGTGAGAGAGAGTAAGAGAGAGAGAGAGAGAGAGAGAGAGAGAGAGAGAGAGAGAGAGAATGAAGAGGAACCGTGTCAAATTTCATAAATAACACCTTCCATATTTGGAAATTGGGCTTGATGACGTGCGAACTGCTTAGCTGTCACCATGCTGTGCAGGGCGCGAAATAACGGTCGGACATCGGACAATTTCCGACCGTTTACAGTCAGTTTCCGGATGTTTTGTACACATCCGGACAAAGTGTCCGCGCACTTTTTTGCAAAGTACAAAAAAGAAAAGGCACGTCAATCCTTTGTCTCATAGTCATTAGTGATGTAGTCTGGCAAGAGAAAGCCAAGCACCGCAGACTCCGGGTGCTCCTCTTGGAAAGAAGCCCAGAGGAGTCAAGACGACCACTTGTGACAAGTGGGTCGCCGAGTATGATAGGGAGCTTTCAATTTACTTCTGTTTGGCTGAGCTATGAGTATGAGCGCAGTCCCTCAGATCGTAGCGTTGCCGAAAATTTGAAGTGTAAGATGTGTTCCCGTTTTGCTGATAAAATTCGCAGCAGCAAGAATTTTTCTGACTCCTTCGTCGTTGGCTCAAGGAACCTGAAAACATCAGCCTTCAAAGATCATGCTGCTTCTGAAATGCATCGCCGTGCCATGGCATTGTTTGGCAAGGAGCCGTGAGTCAAGCGGAAACCCAATAGAGTATGCGCCAATCGCTCGAGCCTTGTGCAAACTTGACGACGCAGCAGCAGCCAAGGTCGGACTCTTTTCACGTCATGATAACATTTTGATGGTATTAATTCTACACTGAACACTGTGTGATTTGATGTGAAAATTTGCATGTCCGGACATGTCCGGCCATTTTTGTAACTGGCAGGACTTTGTGTCTGAGCACATTTTAATCCTTAGCGCATGCCCTGCTGTGCATGCTCAGCAGTGTAATTGAATGGAAGAAAACAATTACTTTGGTGTTTTGCAGCTCTGTTTCGTTCCCTGACGGTAACCAAATCTAGATGTAGGGATCTGTTGAGCAGGAGAGTGACACATGTCTTCCTGAAGGCTGTCCAGGCTGCAGTGGTGATGAAGAAGACAAGATCATCACCCCGAGATCGATTGTAGCGAATTGGAAAACTCATGGTAAATTTGCTTCCACTCCAAGGCAATGTCGAGGTATGAAGGGTGCTTGTACTGCCTTCCAAAGTGAAGAGGAGATGAACATGGCTGTGCATAGCTGTTGTTCTACGCCAACTTATCTACTCTTGCTGGTACCGTAGTGGCATATTGCAAATTTCGTGGACGAACAACTCTAGTCACTAGTGGCTAGTGAGCAACACTAACAGGTGAGATTTTTCAATTTGACAAAAATTGTTTTTGTTTGAGAACTGACAGTGGCAGTCATTTGACTCAGTAGGTGTCTTGGCTGCTTCTTTCCCTTCATAGGTAGGGTTGTGCTTGAATAGTACAAGTGCTTGAAGTAAAATAAAATAAATAGAACATGTGGAACATAAATCTAATCAAGCATCAGTACATGTATTGCGAATTTCAACTTCAAAGCACATGAAATCACAATGATCACAAAGTTTATGGAATCAGGAGTACACCCTGTGTTCAACGAACACATACAGACATGCTGTATTGCGCACACACATGTACACATGTGCGTGCACCCCCACCCCATCCCACAGACACACGCATGCAGCGCGCACATCCATACACATGTGCGTGTACCCCCGCCCCCCACACACTCCTACCCATAGTACACATGTGCGTGCCCCCCCCCCCCCCCCACACACACACTCCTACCCATAGTACACATGTGCGTGCCCCCCACACACTCCTACCCATAGTACACATGTGCGTGCCCCCCACACTCCTACCCATAGTACACATGTGCATGCCCCCCCCCCCCACACACGTGTGTGCACATACAGTCTACAGATACACAAACACACGCGCACGAACACACACACACAAGATACGTGTAAGTGTACAATCATGGTCTTCCTGGTGCAGATGCTGGGCCTGCACAATGGAAAATACCTCCATCAAGATGCTTGATCAAGTGGTGTGATAATGGCACCGTTTGTTTGTTTTTACAAAGAAGTGTGGGAAGGATTACAATGCGTTATAATTCATAATTGTTCTTTGCCTTGTACTGTGCAGACCAGAATGCGTCGCTATCAACTCTTGGCTTTCCATCGGCATGGTGTTCAGCTGCAGCGGCATCTGGTCCGGGGAGTTCAAGTTGCTGGATGGCTGCACTGACACAGGATGGGTTTGCGTTGGCAATGCGATACGGCAGTCATCCCACATCATGAGCTACATGTTTATGTAATTTATATTGTCGCTCGTCCAGCAACGTCAAGGCTCTGCATGTAAACACAGGAGAACACCATAATACTACTCAGGGGATACTAATTTTTGGATTATCAATTTCGTGACATTTATGAGTTCCTGTCTAAACCATGCCGTGATATTGATTGCTATCTGCTCACAAAGTACCTTGTATTGTAACAATACTCTGCCTAATCACTACCCTCCGCCAATTATTAGATTCACACAATATTCACAACGTGTGCAACACGATGCTGTCTATTGACACTACTTCAAACTGAAATACTCACTACTCTTCTCCCGTTTTCATCTCCCTCTACCTTATGAATACTCTACATTACTGGTTTCGTTTCTACCCTTCCCATTGCTGCCAGCTCCCAGTCTTTTTCAATGCACAGCACCACCTTGAAATGTTTGTCATTTGATGTACACATACTTTGAAGTTGAAATTCGAATTACATGATCAGATTTTTGTTCCACATTTTCTACTTATTTTTACTTCAAGCACAACCTTACCGATGAAGGGAAAGAAGCAGCAGAGAGACACCTACTGAGTCTAATGACTGCCACTGTCAGTTCTCAAAAAAACAATTTTTGTCGAAATGAAAAATCTCACCTGTTAGTGTTGCTCACTAGCCACTAGTGACTAGAGTTGTTCGTCCACGAAATTTGCAATATGCCACTACGGTACCAGCAAGAGTAGGTAAGTTGGCGTAGAACAACAGCTATGCAAAGCCATGTTCATCTCCTCTTCACTTTGGAAGGCAGTACAAGCACCCTTCATACCTCGACATTGCCTTGGAGTGGAAGCAAATTTACCATGAGTTTTCCAATTCGCTACAATCGATCTCGGGGTGATGATCTTGTCTTCTTCATCACCACTGCAGCCTGGACAGCCTTCAGGAAGACATGTGTCACTCTTCTGCTCAACAGATTCCTACATCTAGATTTGGTTACCGCCAGGGAACGAAACAGAGCTGCAAAACACCAAAGTAATTGTTTTCTTCCATTCAATTACACTGCTGAGCATGCACAGCATGGTGACAGCTAAGCAGTTCGCACGTCATCAAGCCCAATTTCCAAATATGGAAGGTGTTATTTATGAAATTTGACACGGTTCCTCTTCTCTGATCGGCTCGAGGCATAGCTCATCGGAATCAGTGCCCAATTCTCCTTCGAATAAGCCATGCTTAATTTTGTCGTTCAGTTTCCCTTTAATACTGGTTGAGTATCCGAGTTAGGCCTTAACGGATTATGCTAGCATAATTTTTCGCATAATTTCTACCAAAATCGAATAATCGCATAATTCGAGGCAAATTGCATATGAATCGCATAAATTGGAATAATCCGCCTGTTCGCATCAAATTCCATACAGTTGTACATGTTCTACAAGTACAAGTAGATGCACCAGATGCCCCAGGAAGTTGTAGGTTTACGACTCCCTTGATGACATGTCCAGTCCACTACAATCAGTGACGGTCGTAGCTAGGTCGGATGGTGCGGTGACCCCGTTGAACTTTTGCTACTACAGTACAACGCCCTCTACAAAACAATTCCCCTGGTATTTTGCACAGAAGCATCATATACATCAGCAGCATATGTGAGCTTAATGCGGCATAATATGATAACTTTTAGCATAAATATAGCATAATTCTGCAATTTTTTCAGCAATGCGAAAAGCATAATTTCACGAAAATATTAGCATAATCCGTCAAGGCCTAATCCGAGTTAATTATTGAAATGTTTCTTGCAATCTTGGTACTTCCTCCGTTAGCGATTTTGGTGACTATTAAAACGATTAGAACAGGTCAAGAACAGTTTGTATCGACTGCAAATCACTGGACGAAGGTAGTTCAGCCTATGTACAGCGTCTTTACAAGAGAAACTGTTGGCGGAATGAGCAGAGAGTTCAGTTTGAGAAACTACTACTAGTAGACCCGTGCCAGCACTGAACAGCAGCGGCTAGCAAGTCCACTGACTCGACTTTCTTTAGCCACGAGACTCGCGTCGGACTGCAGCCTTCTGAAAGAATGCATGGTCATCAGCATTCGAATCTGGGCTTTGCGCAGGTTGAACAAGAACTTTGAGTTCAGAAATATTTCATTGCGCCGTGCGATCGGAGCAGCTCCTTGTTCTCTCGCTCATTGTGTGGGCTCGCTGCTCCGTTCCATCGCTCTCTATCATTCTCAAACTCAGTACTAGAGTAGTAGAGAGGCCAAGCAGCGCATTATCCCCTCGGAGAATTGGTATTTCACTTTCGCTCGCCATGACTGTCATCACCTATGTTGCCACAGCGCAACCATCGATTCCGCTCGCCTTGTCGTAAAGGGTCGCTCTCCTTGCATCGTACCTCTTTCATGGCATGCCAGGGAAGGTCGAGAAAGTGATTGCGACTCATTTCACGGCAGTTTGTGCGCAAAACAGTCCCTCAAAAATCTATCACGAAGTTTTTGTTAACGGAGGAAGTAGGTAAGAAGGGCGAAAAAGGAGAAGGACAAAATGTTACGAGCTATGACTGTCCACCAACGTAACATTTTGTCCTTCTCCACTTTTACCATAATCAGATTGGCTCACCATCCGAGTTCAACTTTACGTAGGGCGAGTTGCATATCAAACACGTACACCATTGGATATGTATCAGTATTCTCTCATCACAAGGATTGTACTGGCAAAGCTGCAAACACAACAAGAACATTGTTGTGTGAAATGTGTGACTTCTGTTCAGAAAAATACAAAACAAGTAGCACCCATCAACTAAGCCTATTACATGATGTCTCTTCTCCCCTTATACCTGGTCATCATTATGTTGTCTTCTGTCTCGTCCCATGCATGCAGAATCGCTATCAGATTAGTCCTTGCTTGGACCGCTCCTATATCCTAGTTGCCGAGCATCTCTGGATCGCCACCAGTGTATCTAGTATACACAAAAGCACGTATTGGAGAGACGCTCACTGCGTTGTCGATAGCGATGATTGTCATGATCAAAAAAAGGTCTTCGCACGAAAGGATAGAATGATTGTGCAATTGTCCGGCCTGGCGTTGATGCCGCCTACAACAAGGGACCACACCATTATCCGAATGAGCCCTCCGGAATCGGAGCCTTTGATCAAAACGCTCTGGCTGTTACCAGAAGGCGCTTGTTCCTACCTTCCGGACCTTTCAACTTCATTGCTTGACGAACAATGCAGAGTAAGGGATGAGGAAGAGCGGGTCAGTTTAGGAGCTGCGACGAGTTTGTTGTTGGACAATTGCGGCTCCCATGAAGAGTACCAAACACGTATCCTGGACAAACTAGAACGGGATATTCCAGCAACTGTATCATACGTTCCTTACGTGAACCGTTCTTGCAGGCTAGTCGAGCTTGCAAAATGCTTTGAAAGCCTTGCAAGGAGCGATCCAGAATTGCTCTTATCACTAAGATGTGAGAATCTGATACCAACACTTCCTCAGCACATTACTACTCGGTGGACCTATAACCCGTACGACTATCTATTTATCGACATTAATGAGGGTCACCTTCTTGGCCATGACACGTTAGCGACCCAGAATTGGATCAACTTCACGGTAAAGCTGGCAGAGCTTCACTCCCTACTCAAGCTGGTGATCAAGGGAATCCTACGTGTTTCGCAGTTGGAGGATTACTTCGTGGCTGTCATGGAGTATGACGAGTTGTGGCAAAGTCTATCCGAGTCTAGTCGCCCCAGTCGGGAGATTCTCTACTGTGATCTGGGAAGCTACCTACTTTCCACATTACCAACGTCGCAGTCTGAAAAGGAACTGACAAAAGAGGAACTTCTGAGCGCCATGGAACAGTGTGGCAAGCCAACTGTAGTCTGTGTGTAGACACGGCTGTCCATGACTGACTAGATTACATAATGGCGTCTTTCCACCTGGTTTTGGAGAAGTTTTGAAAACTCGATTCGGATTGATGAATTTCTGTGAATGGTAAAGAAACCAAGTTGGTTTTCAGTGTGATCCGACATGAAAAACGCAAGCAGTAGTCGCCGTTGTTTGAATATTTGAAAGAGCTGCAGTACAATATTTTTCTCGGAGCGAAATAAGGAAATACAAAAATGAAGACAGACATTGCTGTTACCTCGCTGTTTTCTTACTAAGTCTTGTTGACGAGGAGACTGGACCTTGGTGCTCGGATTTCCTCTTCTGTCGACGAGGAGCCAGCGTACTTGGCTTCTTTGGTGGTTGTTAGTAGATGCTGCTCGGCGACAACTTTCAGCCTGAGGAGGTCTCCTGGTATGGTTTGCGTTGAGACTGGCGTGCAAGCTCTCTAGCTCCGTGAGCAGGCCCAGACCAACGCCAAGTTTCCTGATGAGCAGTACCTCATGATTAGGCGTACTCATGATCCTCTAACACTAGTAACAGGTGGAGGTTTGACGTGATGTTTCCAGCCGTGCCACAAAATGTTGTCTAAAAACGAAATGTTGTCTGCACACACTCAAGAAGCGCCGAACTAATACTTCAAACTCCAGCTTATCCTTCTCGTCTGCTGAAACTGCTGGCTGTATTGTCTTGTTTTCATATATGGTAGCGCATGGTTTCCGGTATTATGTTTTCATCTAACTTAGACTGACTTAGTCTTAGAACCTGCCCAGTTGGAAGGCTGTTGGAGTGCGCATCCACGGCGTGCTTGAGCTGGTATTCAATTAGTTGTTGAGTGTCAGTACCGCCGGTCAGTTTCCTTTTGCAATGTTATCGCATGAGCTGATTGTTTAGTAACTGGTGGTGTTAGTGGACATTATAGCGTAACTAAATAACTTGCAGTTCCTTGGTCCTTTCTTTATTATGCATTGTATTGTATTTCATTATTTTACTTTGGCATTCCCAACAGACCCTAAGGCCTTCTCACTAGCCCTTTCCCAAAGGTGCTCGCCCTTTTTGGCCCTTTTTGGAAAAGCCCGTTTCTTTCGCCCTTTATTGCGTTTTTTGGTGAATATCTCCCTTTTTGAGCTTTTTAGCTGAAAAAGTGCTAAAATCTGTTTGCTCATGCATGCGGTCACAGTGTCCGAGTGCTCGATCTGGATGCATCCATGGACCTTGGCACGCCGCATTTTCGGGGGGGGGGGGGGACAACAAGTTGGTGAAGCTTGTACCTGGTGTACAGAATGCTGTAAAAGTGGGTTTTTGAACTTTACTTCCTGTTTTGCCTTTCGTGGACCCATAAATGGGAGAGTGCGTCTTCATTTCTCAGCTTGGGTTCATATCTGAACATGTATCATGGCTATCCTTCACTGAAAAAAGAGCACTTTTTGCCTGTTTTCACTGAAAAAAGAGCACTTTTTCAGCATATTTTGAGGGACGCGAAAAGCACTATAATTGAATTATTGTAAGTGCGAATTAAAAGAGCACCTTTGGGAAAGGGCTACTTCTCACAGGGTTCCCTGTGGCTGTGACTGAAGATAGCTCGACAAGAAGCGTAGCTGTTCATTGCGCTATAGTTTGGGCATCCTCGGCCTGGGCTGGACACCCGGACATGATAACTGGTACCGTATGTGACTGGCTGATGGCAGTGACCATGGTGGGCTTCAAGGCTGGTGGACATGATTGGCGATGAAATCACCACTGTGGTCCACTTTGTTCAATCTTATCTTGGTGGAGAACAGGCTATGCTCCACAGAGACACTGGCCATTATGTAGCACCGGAATGATTGCATTTTCAACGTGCACTGGCAATATACGCGGACGAATGGCATTGAAATAGTGTTTCGCCTCTGATATCTGCGACCGGCCCCGCTTCAGAAATTCTGGGCAGATGCTTCAGTCGACCATGCAGTGCATTCCAGTCAATAGTCGGTAAATCTGCGGTTTGCCTTGTCTCCCTGGCCAGTTTTAACCTCCAGCCTGCCACCCTTTGACCAGACGTGCAGTGAAGTTTGTCGCCACATTGCCCTTCAACTTCGATGGAGAAGCAATTCGATCCTGAGCTTCTGTTGACGATGGGCGCACAACGTGGATTGGTGTTGTGCACAGTAAAGCGGGATTCACAGAAGCTTTTTTTGCGATGCGACACGCGATGCGACGCGATCTGCGACGGACGCGTGCGATGCGAACTCGCGAAATACCATTCACAGAAGAAGTCAGTGATGCGACAACGCCTTGCTGATTTGGGTACGTCACCATAATATTCGCGCGGTTTGATACAACTTGTACAAATTTATAGGCAACTCTTGAACCTTTGCAACTTTGCTGTAGAAAAGGTCAAAATTGTACGCCAAATCGCTTGTCGCATCGCATCGCACAAGTTGAGCCAAGCTCAACTTCTGCGATGGCCTGCGATGGCCCAGTTGCGGCAGTTGTGTGGAGTGCGACATGGCTGCGATTTGGGGTTTTCCCGGTTTCGCGCCTGTCGCATCGCGTGTCACATCGCAAAAAAGCTTCTGTGAATCCCGCTTTACGGGTTACTTGCTGCACAGCACGATGGTGTCTTTGGATTGAACGGGCGCATGCCTGCATGCACCCCATACTACTTCGTACTCACCTTTTGTCACCTTTTGTTCCGTTGGCCTGGGTAGCTACTTGCGCGCCCATATTTGCCATAGCTACCCAGGCTAGGCCCAGACAGATTCTGCTCCGCCCGCCTCGATATTTTGCCGCAAATTGTTGCTGCGAAATCTTCGATATTTTGCCGAGCCTGGCACAAGAAACTCGATATTTTGCTCCATTTTGCTCCAGAAAAACGTGTATTTTATCCACTTCCCGTACAATCCCGTAGAATTACAAGGTTTCAGAAAAATCGCAGGATCGGTTTCTCAACACGGGTTTCCACGCACGTGTCCCTGAGTTCTTCCAAAATCATGTCGATCCACAGTGAATCCCAGTGATATTTCGGTGACATGATCTCGTCCTGGGCAGTGTATCCTGCTGAACGGGTAAGAAACAAGGAAATCCAAGTATCAGGCATCGTTTTTACCCAACATCTCGATATTTTGCTCGGATTTTGCCGGCAATTTCCGCTCTTTCAATTCTTCGATATTTTGCCGAAAGAATTGCCGGCAGGATCTGTCTGGGCCTAAAGCGGGATTCACAGAAGCTTTTTTGCGATGCGACACACGATGCGACAGACACGAAACCGGGAAAACCCCAAATCGCAGCCATGTCGCACCCCACGCAACTGCCGCAACTGGGCCATCGCAGAATAGTTGAGCTTGGCTGTTGCGATGCGATGCGACAAGCGATTTGGCGTACGATTTTGACCTTTTCTACAGCAAAGTTGTACAAAGTCAAAGGTTCAAGAGTTGCCTATAAATTTGTACAAGTAGTTGTATCAAACCGCGCGAATATCATGGTGACGTAGCCAAATCAGCAAGACTTTGTCGCATCGCTGACTTCTTCTGTGAATGGTATTTCGTGAGTTCGCATCGCACGCATCCATCGCAGATCGCGTCGCATCGCGTGTCGCATCGCAAAAAAGCTTCTGTGAATCCCGCTTAACCCAGGCCCTTTATCTTGCTGTACACACTTGATCTCTCTCTTCCACAATGTAGTCCGACTAGTCGTTTCGTTCGTCTTGGTCTCTGTCTCTCCGTCTGCCTAATAAATGTCCGACCTAACCTGTTCCCGTTGTCCATTGTACTGTCTGGAGAATATGTCGTCGTCCTTTTCGTACTCAACATTAACATGGCGTTGCAAGTTGCAACTCATGTAGCGGCACGACTTTGGGACATCGACATAGCGATGGCCCATGGAAGTCGCAGTGGATCGACTGTATCGACTGTATTGACTGTATCGACTGTATCGACTGGCTGCTGACAACCCTTATACGATTGATGCTAGGCGTTAGCATCGATGATGCAGCTATGTCAGCGCTGCAAGGCTTACACTTATTAAAGGGGAAGTTAAGGCAAAAATTAAAATTTCACCAGTTGTAGTCTTCGGGGTGCTGAGTCGAATGGTCGTGGTCCGAGGAAGCTGAGACGCTCCCTTCCTACTTGAATCCCAATCGAACTCGCGCACTTCCACCGAAACTGGGTGACTGCGCCCTACTAGATGGGGATTTGTATGCAAAATGTCACTAAAAGCGCCATTTCGTTCTTATAAAAGCACGGATGACCGCGATTGGCCCATATGTTGTAGTCTTTTGGACGCTGAGTCGACTGGTTTTGGTCCGAAAAGGCTGCGATGCAGCGTTCCTCCTTTATTCCCAATCGAACATGGTTGAACAAGCGGTCACGTGCTCCTGCGTACACCAGTCACCTGGTCACCGTGCTTGCAGGGTACAACTTACTAGCCTGTTTGACCTTTTTTTGGTGCAGTCCTGTCACTCGAGTTGAACCTTGGTGTGAAAGTTGTCGCCTGCTGGCGTGGTGACCAGGTGACTGGTGTACGCACGAGCACGTGACCGCTTGTTCAACCATGTTCGATTGGGAATAAAGGAGGAACGCTGCATCGCAGCCTTTTCGGACCAAAACCAGTCGACTCAGCGTCCAAAAGACTACAACATATGGGCCAATCGCGGTCATCCGTGCTTTTATAAGAACGAAATGGCGCTTTTAGTGACATTTTGCATACAAATCCCCATCTAGTAGGGCGCAATCACCCAGTTTCGGTGGAAGTGCGCGAGTTCGATTGGGATTCAAGTAGGAAGGGAGCGTCTCAGCTTTCTCGGACCAAGACCATTCGACTCAGCACCCCGAAGACTACAACTGGTGAAATTTTAATTTTTGCCTTAACTTCCCCTTTAAAACTACAATGTACTAGTAACTAATAATTATTGCTTGTTGTGTGTGCTCAGACATTCACTTATGCAACCTGCACAACTGAGCTCATTGCAGCACGCAAGCTGTTTCCAATACATGTACATGTATACTGGCAAAGGCATTCTTTCAAATGATGCACACTCTGCACTGTTGTTGTATTTGTACTTTTCTTAAAGTCGCATCACAAACAGGCAACTGTGCCTTCTTACATGTGTGCAATTAAGAATCTGTCCTTGCTAAGCAGTATGCTGCGGTGGATTATGCTCGCGAAATCATGGAATTATGCTTTCATGGATTCTCGCATTATGCTCGCAAAATCCTCATATTATGCTTTGGCACGCGGAGATACACATTCACTTTGTTGTACTTATGGAGCCTCAAAGGAAAATTGTGCGTTTTTCGTACATGTACTTGCAAATGGCCATAAGTACAACAAAATACATGAGTATACCCATACCAAGGTGTCCATGCATGCGAGAGATCAACAAAGAAAAGAGAAAACATTGCATCTTCTACATGTATTCACTACAATTTTTTGTAAAAAGATTTTTCATTGCTAAATTTTGTTTGAGTTACCTTTCAAAATTATCATGTTCAACTGACTGTCTTCGTAATCGTCATAATCGTCCGACCGATGTCAACCTCACCCTGCGAATAGTCAGCTCATCTCTCTCGTAGCTCCACCTCTCTTTCCATCATGATCGAACATTAACAATACCTCACTTCATCAACAATACCTCACTTGATATTATTAGAGCAATATCCACAGCCTGGACAACCACGGCTGCTAAAATCCCGAGGTCACGACTTCGTATCATGAATAATGTACATGTACGCAGAGTCCGTTTGCGGACTACCCATCACTATCTCGTCCACCTCGGGATACCTAACGAGAGAGCTTGGAAGCTCAGGGCCCTGCGCTATGCTTTGTTGCCTAGCTCATCGTGCATGTTGTTAGAACTGATGGAAATGTTTTTCCTTTGATTAGCTACATCATTGTATTGCAAAAACGTTTCAATGAGTTACTGAAGTAACGTCTTCTGCATAGCTATGGGACCGGCGCTGACTCTGCCGATCACGGGCGTTCTGTAGTCGACGGGATGTCTGTCCTGACGTTTCCTGGGACCGGCGCTGACTCTGCCGATCACGGGCGTTCTTCTTCTTCTTATTATACTGACGGCAACTAACATCCATGCATTTACTCGTCTCCCTACTTCGTATTTCTTTCCAGAAAATCTCCCCATACAGCAGGGAGTCGTTT